TCACCCCGCCCCATTCTCCAGCTTTCCATCACCCCGCCCCATTCTCCCACTTTCCATCACCCCGCCCCATTCTCCCTCCTTCCATCACCCCGCCCCATTCTCCCACTTTCCATCACCCCGCCCCATTCTCCCTCCTTCCATCATCCCGCCCCATTCTCCCTCCTTCCATCACCCCGCCCCATTCTCCCGCTTTCCATCACCCCGCCCCATTCTCCCAATTTCCATCACCCCGCCCCATTCTCCCGCTTTCCATCACCCCGCCCCATTCTCCGTCCTTCCATCACCCCGCCCCATTCTCCCTCCTTCCATCACCCCGCCCCATTCTCCCGCTTTCCATCACCCCGCCCCATTCTCCCGCTTTCCATCACCCCGCCCCATTCTCCCTCCTTCCATCACCCCGCCCCATTCTCCCTCCTTCCATCACCCCGCCCCATTCTCCCGCCTTCCATCACCCCGCCCCATTCTCCCGCTTTCCATCACCCCGCCCCATTCTCCCGCTTTCCATCACCCCGCCCCATTCTCCCGCTTTCCATCACCCCGCCCCATTCTCCCGCTTTCCATCACCCCGCCCCATTTTCCCTCCTTCCATCTCCCCGCCCCATTCTCCCTCCTTCCATCACCCCGCCCCATTCTCCCGCTTTCCATCACCCCGCCCCATTCTCCCGCTTTCCATCACCCCGCCCCATTCTCCCGCTTTCCATCACCCCGCCCCATTCTCCCGCTTTCCATCACCCCGCCCCATTCTCCCGCTTTCCATCACCCCGCCCCATTCTCCCGCTTTCCATCACCCCGCCCCATTCTCCCGCTTTCCATCACCCCGCCCCATTCTCCCTCCTTCCATCACCCCGCCCCATTCTCCCTCCTTCCATCACCCCGCCCCATTCTCCCGCTTTCCATCACCCCGCCCCATTCTCCCGATTTCCATCACCCCGCCCCATTCTCCCGCTTTCCATCACCCCGCCCCATTCTCCGTCCTTCCATCACCCCGCCCCATTCTCCCTCCTTCCATCACCCCGCCCCATTCTCCCGCTTTCCATCACCCCGCCCCATTCTTCCGCTTTCCATCACCCCGCCCCATTCTCCCTCCTTCCATCACCCCGCCCCATTCTCCCGCTTTCCATCACCCCGCCCCATTCTCCCTCCTTCCATCACCCCGCCCCATTCTCCCTCCTTCCATCACCCCGCCCCATTCTCCCGCTTTCCATCACCCGCCCCATTCTCCCGCTCTCCATCACCCCGCCCCATTCTCCCGCTTTCCATCACCCCGCCCCATTCTCCCGCTCTCCATCACCCCGCGCCTTTCTCCCGCTTTCCATCACCCCGCCCCATTATCCCGCTTTCCATCACCCCGCCCCATTCTCCCGCTTTCCATCACCCCACCCCATTCTCCCGCTTTCCATCACCCTGCCCCATTCTCCCTCCTTCCATCATCCCGCCCCATTCTCCCGCTTTCCATCACCCCGCCCCATTCTCCCGCTTTCCATCACCCAGCCCCATTCTCCCTCCTTCCATCACCCTGCCCCATTCTCCCGCTTTCCATCACCCCGCCCCATTCTCCCTCCTTCCATCACCCCGCCCCATTCTCCCTCCTTCCATCACCCCGCCCCATTCTCCCGCTTTCCATCACCCCGCCCCATTCTCCCGCTTTCCATCACCCCGCCCCATTCTCCCGCTTTCCATCACCCTGCCCCATTCTCCCTCCTTCCATCATCCCGCCCCATTCTCCCGCTTTCCATCACCCCGCCCCATTCTCCCGCTTTCCATCACCCCGCCCCATTCTCCCTCCTTCCATCACCCTGCCCCATTCTCCCGCTTTCCATCACCCCGCCCCATTCTCCCTCCTTCCATCACCCCGCCCCATTCTCCCTCCTTCCATCACCCCGCCCCATTCTCCCGCTTTCCATCACCCCGCCCCATTCTCCCGCTTTCCATCACCCCGCCCCATTCTCCCGCTTTCCATCACCCCGCCCCATTCTCCCGCTTTCCATCACCCCGCCCCATTCTCCCGCTTTCCATCACCCCGCCACATTCTCCCTCCTTCCATCACCCCGCCCCATTCTCCCTCCTTCCATCACCCCGCCCCATTCTCCCGCTTTCCATCACCCCGCCCCATTCTCCCGCTTTCCATCACCCCGCCCCATTCTCCCGCTTCCATCACCCCGCCCCATTCTCCCTCCTTCCATCACCCCGCCCCATTCTTCCCCCTTCCATGACCCCGCCCCATTCTCCCTCCTCCCATCACCCCGCCCCATTCTCCCGCTTTCCATCACCCCGCCCCATTCTCCCGCTTTCCATCACCCCGCCCCATTCTCTCGCATTCCATCACCCCGCCACATTCTCCCTCCTTCCATCACCCCGCCCCATTCTCCCGCCTTCCATCACCCCGCCCCATTCTCCCGCTTCCCATCACCCCGCCCCATTCTCCCGCTTTCCATCACCCCGCCCCATTCTCCCGCCTTCCATCACCCCGCCCCATTCTCCCGCCTTCCATCACCCCGCCCCATTCTCCCGCTTTCCATCACCCCGCCCCATTCTCCCGCTTTCCATCACCCCGCCCCATTCTCCCGCTTTCCATCACCCCGCCCCATTCTCCAGCTTTCCATCACCCCGCCCCATTCTCCCACTTTCCATCACCCCGCCCCATTCTCCCTCCTTCCATCACCCCGCCCCATTCTCCCACTTTCCATCACCCCGCCCCATTCTCCCTCCTTCCATCACCCCGCCCCATTCTCCCTCCTTCCATCACCCCGCCCCATTCTCCCGCTTTCCATCACCCCGCCCCATTCTCCCGCTTTCCATCACCCCGCCCCATTCTCCCGCTTTCCATCACCCCGCCACATTCTCCCGCTTTCCATCACCCCGCCCCATTCTCCCGCTTTCCATCACCCCGCCCCATTCTCCCGCTTTCCATCGCCCTGCTTTCCATCACCCCGCCCCATTCTCCCGCTTTCCATCGCCCCGCCCCATTCTCCCGCTTTCCATCGCCCCGCCCCATTCTCCCGATTTCCATCGCCCCGCCCCATTCTCCCGCTTTCCATCACCCCGCCCCATTCTCCCGCTTTCCATCACCCCGCCCCATTCTCCCGCTTTCCATCACCCCGCCCCATTCTCCCGCTTTCCATCACCCCGCCCCATTCTCCCGCTTTCCATCACCCCGCCCCATTCTCCCTCCTTCCATCACCCCACCCCATTCTCCCTCCTTCCATCACCCCGCCCCATTCTCCCGCTTTCCATCACCCCGCCCAATTCTCCCGCTTTCCATCACCCCGCCCCATTCTCCCGCTTCCATCACCCCGCCCCATTCTCCCTCCTTCCATCACCCCGCCCCATTCTCCCCCCTTCCATCACCCCGCCCCATTCTCCCGCTTTCCATCACCCCGCCCCATTCTCCCGCTTTCCATCACCCCGCCCCATTTTCCCTCCTTCCATCACCCCGCCCCATTCTCCTGCCTTCCATCACCCCGCCCCATTCTCCCGCTTTCCATCACCCCGCCCCATTCTCCCGCTTTCCATCACCCCGCCCCATTCTCCCGCTTTCCATCACCCCGCCCCATTCTCCCGCTTTCCATCACCACGCCCCATTCTCCCGCTTTCCATCACCCCGCCCCATTCTCCCGCTTTCCATCACCCCGCCCCATTCTCCCTCCTTCCATCACCCCGCCCCATTCTCCCGCCTTCCATCACCCCGCCCCATTCTCCCGCTTCCCATCACCCCGCCCCATTCTCCCGCTTTCCATCACCCCGCCCCATTCTCCCGCTTTCCATCACCCCGCCCCATTCTCCCGCTTTCCATCACCCCGCCCCATTCTCCCGCTTTCCATCACCCCGCCCCATTCTCCCTCCTTCCATCACCCCGCCCCATTCTCCCGCTTTCCATCACCCCGCCCCATTCTCCCGCTTTCCATCACCCCTCCCCATTCTCCCGCTTTCCATCACCCCGCCCCATTCTCCCGCTTTCCATCACCCCGCCCCATTCTCCCGCTTTCCATCACCCCGCCCCATTCTCCCGCTTTCCATCACCCCGCCTTATTCTCCCGCTTTCCATCACCCCGCCCCATTCTCCCGCTTTCCATCACCCCGCCCCATTCTCCCGCTTTCCATCACCCCGCCCCATTCTCCCGCTTTCCATCACCCCGCCCCATTCTCCCGCTTTCCATCACCCCGCCCCATACTCCCGCTTTCCATCACCACGCCCCATTCTCCCGCTTTCCATCACCCCGCCCCATTCTCCTGTTGGTGCAACCCTACGGTTTGCATACGGCTTGTTGTCCGTGTGCGTGCATGCGTGTGTGCATGGAATGGTATGAGGGCATGAAATAATATATATTTCATGCTTACAATAGTGTGTGAATGATGAGGCATGATTTTGAATGTGTGTGTCGAGTCAATAGCGAGTTATCGCTAGTTGCGTGCGACGTCGTTGTTTGCGTGTCGTGTGCGGTTTTCTATTTTGTCGTGTGTGGAACGTTCGGCGTGTCGCAGGTGTGCGCAGCAGACTTCCAAGAACTCAAGGAAGAATTTACCTTGAAGAACCAGAGCCTTGGTTTCAAGAATCAAGTGATTTCGAAGCTCTCCAAAACGGTAAACTTTAAGATAGCGAGAATAGTTGCATTACTTTGTGTAGTGTAACATTTCTCTTGGTGTAGGCCCTTGTGGAGGGTAGTTTCGAGACCCTTCGTGGTTGGGGACAGTGTGGCACTGTTCCACATCACTGTACCTCGGCTCTTGGGGTTTGTAGGAGCTGGGAGTCATTCCCAACTCGTAACTCTTCCTATCTTGTCTTCTAAGACTATAGTGGCTGCCATAGTACCATTCGTTCAAACCGACGCTGTGTCGTCAATTCTTTATGAAATCGTGCAATCTAAATTGCTAATTGTAGAGGACCTGAAGACGCTCCAGATCCAATTTGAATCAAGTCATTTGCAGCTGTGAGCAGAACGCTATCAACGTTTGAAGCCGCTGTGCAGAAATCCGTCTGTGCTCTCTATCTTTCGTTTTAGGCACATTCAAGTCTATTGTGACTATAACATCTCCCGCTTTCCATCACCCCGCCCCATTCTCCCTCCTTCCATCACCCCGCCCCATTCTCCCTCCTTCCATCACCCCGCCCCATTCTCCCGCTTTCCATCACCCCGCCCCATTCACCCGCTTTCCATCACCCCGCCCCATTCTCCCTCCTTCCATCACCCTGCCCCATTCTCCCGCTTTCCATCACCCCGCCCCATTCTCCCTCCTTCCATCACCCCGCCCCATTCTCCCGCTTTCCATCACCCCGCCCCATTCTCCCGCTTTCCATCACCCCGCCCCATTCTCCCGCTTTCCATCACCCCGCCCCATTCTCCCGCTTTCCATCACCCCGCCCCATTCTCCCGCCTTCCATCACCCCGCCCCATTCTCCCGCTTCCATCACCCCGCCCCATTCTCCCTCCTTCCATCACCCCGCCCCATTCTCCCCCCTTCCATCACCCCGCCCCATTCTCCCGCTTTCCATCACCCCGCCCCATTCTCCCGCTTTCCATCACCCCGCCCCATTTTCCCTCCTTCCATCACCCCGCCCCATTCTCCCGCCTTCCATCACCCCGCCCCATTCTCCCGCTTTCCATCACCCCGCCCCATTCTCCCGCTTTCCATCACCCCGCCCCATTCTCCCGCTTTCCATCACCCCGCCCCATTCTCCCGCTTTCCATCACCCCGCCCCATTCTCCCTCCTTCCATCACCCCGCCCCATTCTCCCGCTTTCCATCACCCCGCCCCATTCTCCCGCTTTCCATCACCCCTCCCCATTCTCCCGCTTTCCATCACCCCGCCCCATTCTCCCGCTTTCCATCACCCCGCCCCATTCTCCCGCTTTCCATCACCCCGCCCCATTCTCCCGCTTTCCATCACCCCGCCCCATTCTCCCGCTTTCCATCACCCCGCCCCATTCTCCCGCTTTCCATCACCCCGCCCCATTCTCCCGCTTTCCATCACCCCGCCCCATTCTCCCGCTTTCCATCACCCCGCCCCATTCTCCCGCTTTCCATCACCCCGCCCCATACTCCCGCTTTCCATCACCACGCCCCATTCTCCCGCTTTCCATCACCCCGCCCCATTCTCCTGTTGGTGCAACCCTACGGTTTGCATACGGCTTGTTGTCCGTGTGCGTGCATGCGTGTGTGCATGGAATGGTATGAGGGCATGAAATAATATATATTTCATGCTTACAATAGTGTGTGAATGATGAGGCATGATTTTGAATGTGTGTGTCGAGTCAATAGCGAGTTATCGCTAGTTGCGTGCGACGTCGTTGTTTGCGTGTCGTGTGCGGTTTTCTATTTTGTCGTGTGTGGAACGTTCGGCGTGTCGCAGGTGTGCGCAGCAGACTTCCAAGAACTCAAGGAAGAATTTACCTTGAAGAACCAGAGCCTTGGTTTCAAGAATCAAGTGATTTCGAAGCTCTCCAAAACGGTAAACTTTAAGATAGCGAGAATAGTTGCATTACTTTGTGTAGTGTAACATTTCTCTTGGTGTAGGCCCTTGTGGAGGGTAGTTTCGAGACCCTTCGTGGTTGGGGACAGTGTGGCACTGTTCCACATCACTGTACCTCGGCTCTTGGGGTTTGTAGGAGCTGGGAGTCATTCCCAACTCGTAACGCTTCCTATCTTGTCTTCTAAGACTATAGTGGCTGCCATAGTACCGTTCGTTCAAACCAACGCTGTGTCGTCAATTCTTTATGAAATCGTGCAATCTAAATTGCTAATTGTAGACGACGTGAAGACGCTCCAGATCCAATTTGAATCAAGTCATTTGCAGCTGTGAGCAGAACGCTATCAACGTTTGAAGCCGCTGTGCAGAAATCCGTCTGTGCTCTCTATCTTTCGTTTTAGGCACATTCAAGTCTATTGTGACTATAACAAGTGGTATCAGAGCCCCTTGGAGAAGTTTCGACAATGGATGGACCTGAGGAAAGGGGTGGCAGAGGTGCTGGTAGCAGTGGAGAAGCTCAAGCTCAAGGCCAACCCCGTGATTCAGCCATGGCGCCCATGCAACCAAGTCTTGGCCCACCTAGGGATGAGCCTAGGGTGTTTGGGCTTGACAAGTTCAACGGCGACAACTTTGCTGAATGGTCCTTCAAGATGGAGAACATCTTTGACCATTATGACCTGCTGGAGGTGATGGAAGGAACGGAGAAGCGCCCCGAGAACGACCCGGAGAAGAGCCCGTGGGTGCGGAAGAGCGCACAAGGCTATCTCCTACTTGGGCAAGCGTTGGGGAGCAGCCAGATCCGTCACATCAAGCCATTCCAGCGTGAACCAGAGAAGGGACCAAAGGCATGGGCTGCTCTCAAGGGTGTACATGCTCCTGCAACAGCGGCGGTAGCGGTGGTGTTGGAACGGCAAATGGCGGCACTACGAATTGAAGAAGACGAAGCGGTTGAAGAAGGGGTGCAGAAATTCTTCGACTTGTTGACGCGGCTTGAGGGAGCTGATTTGAGCTACAGTGAGCTCCAAAAGAAGACCAAGTTGCTGGCCTTACTCCCAGAGTCATGGTCCTCGCTCATCATCAACCTCAATCGTGACTTGCCCCGCCTCTCGCTTGAAGACGTGAAGCGAGCGATCCTTCAAGAGGACTTCCGCCGCCGTGAGTTGGCGAGTGCGGATGGCGCCGGGGCAGCAAGCATCGGCCGAGGGTATGGCTGTGGAAGGGGCAGAGGACGAGGGGGAAGCAGATTTGGCAGCAGCAACTTCAGTGGAGGCTGCGGGAGTGGTGGATACGGCAGCGACAACAAGAGCTACGGACGCGGTCGTGGCCGATTCGACGGCGAGTGCCACTATTGTCACAAGAGCGGACATATGTGGCGCGATTGCTACAAGCTCCCTGATGGATGGACTCCTGCTCAAGGCCAAGAGGGTAGAGGAGCAGGAGGAGGGAGAGGAAGAGGCCGTGGAGGCCGTGGCGGTCGCGGAGGTGGTGCTGCAAGTATGAAGAGTGCCGGCAACGAGAGCGAGTCGAGGGACGATCGCTTCCCGGGTCAATTCTTCTTCGTGTCCACGCAAGCACCGGCTGGTCCAGAGAAGGATGAAGGCTTTGAGGAGCCAGCAGCTGTGGGAAAGGTCACCCTACACTCCCTGGACTATTGGGTGATCGATAGCGGCGCTACCTATAGCATGACACCTCGTGCGGACTTGCTCACCGAACTTGAGCCGTCACCGGTGAAGCATGTGACATCGGCTTTGGGGCAGCGAGCAGAGGTGAAAGGCATGGGCAAGGCCATGTTCAAGGGTGCTGATGGGAAGATGGTGGGCCTCAAGAACGTGCTTTGGGTGCCCAACCTTGCTGCCAACCTGATTTCCGTGCGGCGGTTGCAAAAGGCCGGCATGGACACGAGCTCGAAGGGAGCTAAGACCTACACCGCGAGGCTTGGCGAGCGGATTCTTTGGGACCTTCACGAGGATAGGGATGTCTACAACGAGATGTGGCAGATCCCTGTGGTCCCCATGCCTAAGGAGAGGCAAGTGGCAGCAAGCATCAGCACCAAGGGTGAAGCGGTTGGTAGCGGCGATGGCGCGAACGGTCGCGCTAAGGAGATTAAGTCCAAGAAGTGCAATCTTGGAGGGATCAGCAAGCTCGGTGAACACGAGGAGAGTGGTGCAGCAGCCAAGAAGCAGCACAAGGATGAGGAGAACCCCATGGCAGTAGCGGAGGAGGAGTACGGAGAGAACATGTGGGGCACTATTGCGAGTGCGGCATTCTCCAATCCGACTTCGGTTAGGGGGAGTGTGATTGGCTCACCTTGCATCGGCGAATGGGGCATGTGGCCCTGCCCATCTTGCAGCAGCTAGTGAAGAATGAGATGGTTGCTGGCATACGTGTGAAGGGGGAGCCCGATGAGGTACTTGGCTGCCCGACGTGCATGCAAGCCAAGTTCACCCGTTACCCGTTCTCTAGTTCGGAGGCAACGGCTAAGGCACCACTTGATGAGGTGGTGATGGACGTGGTGGGCCCCCTGAAGCTTGGAGCTGCTGGAGCTGAGTACTTTCTCACCATTGTGGACGTCTACACTCGCATGACTTGGGTGTACGTGCTGTCCAAGAAGAGTGACGTGGCTGAAACGGTGAAGACCGATTGGTTGCCGATGGTGGAGCGGCAACAAGACCGGTTAGTGAAGGCAATTCGCACCGATCGAGGGGGAGAGTTCCTGAGCAAGGAGTTCTCATTGTGGCTGAAGAAGAATGGCATAAGGCACTCCCTTACCATGCCATACTCCCCTGCAATGAACGGCATCGCCGAGCGAGCGAACCGGACAATCACGGAGACGGCGCGTGGGTTGCTCATTGAAGCCGGGCTACCCGAATATTTCTGGCCTGATGCGGTGCGGAGTGCGTGTGTGGCCAAGAACAGAGCCTTGACTCATGTGGGAGCAGACAAATGGGTGCCCTATGTGGAGTGGATTGGAAGGAAGCCAAAGGTGGATATGCTTCGGGTGTTCGGGTGCATGTGCATGGCGCTCGTGCCTAAGCATCTTCGGCAAAACAAGCTCGGTGCCAAGGCGATATGGGCTGTGCACTTGGGCATGGCTCAAAACAGCAAGGGGTGGCTTCTTTGGGACCCATTCACTAAGAAATTCTTGGTGAGCAGGGACTGCAAATTCATGGAGAATCTGATGTACAAGGATTGGAAGGCGGAGAATGAGGCGAAGATAGGCATGCGGTTTGGGGAGGTGAAGAGTTCCGGTTTGGAGCATGTGGAGCTGCCCTTGGAGCTGAGCAGCGGCAGCACCACCACAAGGCAATCTTCCCTTGTGAATGGGGGAGAGGAGGCCAAGGATGCGGAGGAAGAAGAGGAGGAGGTGCAGCAAGTGAGCGAGCGTGCACCGACACTTCCTTCTCGCACTACGAGTGCTCCACGGATCCGAGTCACCCCGCAGCAACGCCAAGGCCTTCATGTCCCTGCAGCTGAGGAGGAAGGAAGGGGCAAGAGGAGAATTCAAGCCCCTAATAGGCTGACCTATGAGGCATTGGGAAAGCCAGCCAAGTCAGCCTTGGTCGGAGCGGCACTCATAGTTGGAGATGACGAGGAGAGTGACTACGAGGAGTGTGCCTTCGCGTTCTTCTCTCCGGTGGAGATGCCGGGGGAACCAGCAACTCTCAAGGAGGCCTTGGAGAGTAGTGATGCTGAGGAGTGGAAGAAGGCCATGGAGAGTGAGCTGAAGAGCATTGAGGAGAACGGCACGTGGGAATTGGTGGAGCTACCGGAGGGGCGTAAGGCGATTACGTCCAAGTGGCTCTTCAAGATCAAGTCCGACGCCGACGGCAAGATCGAGCGCTACAAGTCTAGGCTTGTGGCGAAGGGGTACCAGCAGAAGGAGAAGGTGGACTATAAGGAGTTGTTTGCTCCTGTGGTGAAGCCGACGACGCTGAGAACCCTACTCGCGGGAGCTGCCATCAAAGGATGGGAGGTGAAACAAATGGATGTCACCACGGCATTCCTCAACGGCGTCCTTGAGGAAGAGATTTTTATGGCGCAGCCAGAGGGGTTTGATGATGGTAGTGGCAGAGTTCTGAGGCTGAAGAAGGCCCTTTATGGACTGAAGCAGGCCCCTAGGCAGTGGTACTTGAAGCTGCGAGGAGTTTTGGAGGAGATAGGCTTCACTCCTTCATCCGCCGATCATTCCTTGTTCATGCTTGGCGAGGGGGAGCAGAGGAGTTTCATGGTGGTTTATGTGGATGACATCCTCATTTTCTCACCCTCTTCTGACCTTGTGAAGGAGGTGATGCTGAAGCTTCAAGACAAGTTCAAGTGCAAGGCCCTTGGTGACGTGAGCTTCTACCTTGGGCTCCACATCGAACGAGATGTGGAGAAGCGGTGCATGCGGGTGCATCAACGAAAGTACCTGGAGGCATTGGCTGCCAACTTTGGGCAGAGTGAAGGCCATGTGGCTACACCCTTTCCCTCTGGGTTCAAGTGTGTGAAGGGACCAGAGGAGGAGAGCGTTGGTGAAGAGGAGAGGCGCCGTTTTCACTCGTTGGTGGGCAGCCTCATGTACGCGGCGGTAAACACCCGACCGGACGTCGCATTTGCTACCGGACAGTTGGCTAGGGTTGTTCAATGCCCTAATGAGGAGCAGGTAGCTGCTGGAATGAGGGTGGCCAAGTATCTTGGCCAAACAGCGACCGTTGGGCTGCAATACTCGGCAGCGGCGCAAAGGTGCCAAAAGGGCGCGGATGGTGTTGAACCCGGGCGTTTGTTCCTCACCGCATTCTCGGATGCTTCTTATGCATCGGAACCAGAGGACATGACAAGTGTTGGAGGGTTCATTTGCTGTGTTGGTGGAGGCCCAACTGCTTGGGAGAGCAAGAAGCAGGTGGATCAAGCATTGAGCTCGGTGGAGTCCGAGTACATGGCACTCTTCCGTGCCGTACGGGAGATTGTGTGGCAACGGCGTTTGTTGGCCGAATTGGGGGAGGAGCAGCAAGGACCTACCCCACTCTACTGTGACAGCCAGGGTGCCATTGCTCTTGCTAAGAACCCTGTGTTGCATGGCCTCACCAAGCACATGAGGGTGAAGTGGCATTGGACGAGGAGCATGGTGGCCGCGGGTGAAGTTGAGTTGCACTATGTGAAGACGACAAGGCAGCCAGCTGACATGATGACCAAGAGGCTGGTGGAGCAGCAGCATTGGAAGTGTTGCAAGCTGGCTGGGATGGCTCTGAACTGAGAGAGCAAGACCCTAAGGCCAACAATCCGAGGGGGAGTTTGTTGGTGCAACCCTACGGTTTGCATACGGCTTGTTGTCCGTGTGCGTGCATGCGTGTGTGCATGGAATGGTATGAGGGCATGAAATAATATATATTTCATGCTTACAATAGTGTGTGAATGATGAGGCATGATTTTGAATGTGTGTGTCGAGTCAATAGCGAGTTATCGCTAGTTGCGTGCGACGTCGTTGTTTGCGTGTCGTGTGCGGTTTTCTATTTTGTCGTGTGTGGAACGTTCGGCGTGTCGCAGGTGTGCGCAGCAGACTTCCAAGAACTCAAGGAAGAATTTACCTTGAAGAACCAGAGCCTTGGTTTCAAGAATCAAGTGATTTCGAAGCTCTCCAAAACGGTAAACTTTAAGATAGCGAGAATAGTTGCATTACTTTGTGTAGTGTAACATTTCTCTTGGTGTAGGCCCTTGTGGAGGGTAGTTTCGAGACCCTTCGTGGTTGGGGACAGTGTGGCACTATTCCACATCACTGTACCTCGGCTCTTGGGGTTTGTAGGAGCTGGGAGTCATTCCCAACTCGTAACGCTTCCTATCTTGTCTTCTAAGACTATAGTGGCTGCCATAGTACCGTTCGTTCAAACCAACGCTGTGTCGTCAATTCTTTATGAAATCGTGCAATCTAAATTGCTAATTGTAGACGACGTGAAGACGCTCCAGATCCAATTTGAATCAAGTCATTTGCAGCTGTGAGCAGAACGCTATCAACGTTTGAAGCCGCTGTGCAGAAATCCGTCTGTGCTCTCTATCTTTCGTTTTAGGCACATTCAAGTCTATTGTGACTATAACATCTCCCGCTTTCCATCACCCCGCCCCATTCTCCCTCCTTCCATCACCCCGCCCCATTCTCCCTCCTTCCATCACCCCGCCCCATTCTCCCGCTTTCCATCACCCCGCCCCATTCACCCGCTTTCCATCACCCCGCCCCATTCTCCCTCCTTCCATCACCCTGCCCCATTCTCCCGCTTTCCATCACCCCGCCCCATTCTCCCTCCTTCCATCACCCCGCCCCATTCTCCCGCTTTCCATCACCCCGCCCCATTCTCCCGCTTTCCATCACCCCGCCCCATTCTCCCGCTTTCCATCACCCCGCCCCATTCTCCCGCTTTCCATCACCCCGCCCCATTCTCCCGCCTTCCATCACCCCGCCCCATTCTCCCGCTTTCCATCACCCCGCCCCATTCTCCCACTTTCCATCACCCCGCCCCATTCTCCCGCTTTCCATCACCCCGCCCCATTCTCCCGCTTTCCATCACCCCGCCCCATTCTCCCACTTTCCATCACCCCGCCCCATTCTCCCTCCTTCCATCACCCCGCCCCATTCTCCCACTTTCCATCACCCCGCCCCATTCTCCCTCCTTCCATCACCCCGCCCCATTCTCCCTCCTTCCATCACCCCGCCCCATTCTCCCGCTTTCCATCACCCCGCCCCATTCTCCCGCTTTCCATCACCCCGCCCCATTCTCCCGCTTTCCATCACCCCGCCACATTCTCCCGCTTTCCATCACCCCGCCCCATTCTCCCGCTTTCCATCACCCCGCCCCATTCTCCCGCTTTCCATCGCCCTGCTTTCCATCACCCCGCCCCATTCTCCCGCTTTCCATCGCCCCGCCCCATTCTCCCGCTTTCCATCGCCCCGCCCCATTCTCCCGATTTCCATCGCCCCGCCCCATTCTCCCGCTTTCCATCACCCCGCCCCATTCTCCCGCTTTCCATCACCCCGCCCCATTCTCCCGCTTTCCATCACCCCGCCCCATTCTCCCGCTTTCCATCACCCCGCCCCATTCTCCCGCTTTCCATCACCCCGCCCCATTCTCCCTCCTTCCATCACCCCACCCCATTCTCCCTCCTTCCATCACCCCGCCCCATTCTCCCGCTTTCCATCACCCCGCCCAATTCTCCCGCTTTCCATCACCCCGCCCCATTCTCCCGCTTCCATCACCCCGCCCCATTCTCCCTCCTTCCATCACCCCGCCCCATTCTCCCCCCTTCCATCACCCCGCCCCATTCTCCCGCTTTCCATCACCCCGCCCCATTCTCCCGCTTTCCATCACCCCGCCCCATTTTCCCTCCTTCCATCACCCCGCCCCATTCTCCCGCTTTCCATCACCCCGCCCCATTCTCCCGCTTTCCATCACCCCGCCCCATTCTCCCGCCTTCCATCACCCCGCCCCATTCTCCCGCTTTCCATCACCCCGCCCCATTCTCCCGCTTTCCATCACCCCGCCCCATTCTCCCGCTTTCCATCACCCCGCCCCATTCTCCCGCTTTCCATCACCCCGCCCCATTCTCCCACTTTCCATCACCCAGCCCCATTCTCCCTCCTTCCATCACCCCGCCCCATTCTCCCACTTTCCATCACCCCGCCCCATTCTCCCTCCTTCCATCACCCCGCCCCATTCTCCCTCCTTCCATCACCCCGCCCCATTCTCCCGCTTTCCATCACCCCGCCCCATTCTCCCGCTTTCCATCACCCCGCCCCATTCTCCCGCTTTCCATCACCCCGCCACATTCTCCCGCTTTCCATCACCCCGCCCCATTCTCCCGCTTTCCATCGCCCTGCTTTCCATCACCCCGCCCCATTCTCCCGCTTTCCATCGCCCCGCCCCATTCTCCCGCTTTCCATCGCCCCGCCCCATTCTCCCGCCTTCCATCACCCCGCCCCATTCTCCCGCTTTCCATCACCCCGCCCCATTCTCCCGCTTTCCATCACCCCGCCCCATTCTCCCGCTTTCCATCGCCCCGCCCCATTCTCCCGCTTTCCATCGCCCCGCCCCATTCTCCCGATTTCCATCGCCCCGCCCCATTCTCCCGCTTTCCATCGCCCCGCCCCATTCTCCCGCTTTCCATCACCCCGCCCCATTCTCCCGCTTTCCATCACCCCGCCCCATTCTCCCGCTTTCCATCACCCCGCCCCATTCTCCCGCTTTCCATCACCCCGCCCCATTCTCCCGCTTTCCATCACCCCGCCCCATTCTCCCGCTTTCCATCACCCCGCCCCATTCTCCCGCTTTCCATCACCCCGCCCCATTCTCCCGCTTTCCATCACCCCGCCCCATTCTCCCGCTTTCCATCACCCCGCCCCATACTCCCGCTTTCCATCACCACGCCCCATTCTCCCGCTTTCCATCACCCCGCCCCATTCTCCCGCTTTCCATCACCCCGCCCCATTCTCCCTCCTTCCATCACCCCGCCCCATTCTCCCTCCTTCCATCACCCCGCCCCATTCTCCCGCTTTCCATCACCCCGCCCCATTCACCCGCTTTCCATCACCCCGCCCCATTCTCCCTCCTTCCATCACCCTGCCCCATTCTCCCGCTTTCCATCACCCCGCCCCATTCTCCCTCCTTCCATCACCCCGCCCCATTCTCCCGCTTTCCATCACCCCGCCCCATTCTCCCGCTTTCCATCACCCCGCCCCATTCTCCCGCTTTCCATCACCCCGCCCCATTCTCCCGCTTTCCATCACCCCGCCCCATTCTCCCGCTTTCCATCACCCCGCCCCATTCTCCTGCTTTCCATCACCCCGCCCCATTCTCCCTCCTTCCATCACCCCGCCCCATTCTCCCTCCTTCCATCACCCCGCCCCATTCTCCCGCTTTCCATCACCCCGCCCCATTCTCCCGCTTTCCATCACCCCGCCCCATTCTCCCGCTTCCATCACCCCGCCCCATTCTCCCTCCTTCCATCACCCCGCCCCATTCTCCCCCCTTCCATGACCCCGCCCCATTCTCCCTCCTTCCATCAGCCCGCCCCATTCTCCCGCTTTCCATCACCCCGCCCCATTCTCCCGCTTTCCATCACCCCGCCCCATTCTCTCGCTTTCCATCACCCCGCCACATTCTCCCTCCTTCCATCACCCCGCCCCATTCTCCCGCCTTCCATCACCCCGCCCCATTCTCCCGCTTTCCATCACCCCTCCCCATTCTCCCGCTTTCCATCACCCCGCCCCATTCTCCCTCCTTCCATCACCCCGCCTCATTCTCCCTCCTTCCATCACCCCGCCCCATTCTCCCGCTTTCCATCACCCCGCCCCATTCTCCCGCTTTCCATCACCCCGCCCCATTCTCCCGCTTTCCATCACCCCGCCCCATTCTCCCGCTTTCCATCACCCCGCCCCATTCTCCCGCTTTCCATCACCCCGCCCCATTCTCCCGCTTTCCATCACCCCGCCCCATTCTCCCGCTTTCCATCACCCCGCCCCATTCTCCCGCTTTCCATCACCCCGCCCCATTCTCCCGCTTTCCATCACCCCGCCCCATTCTCCCGCTTTCCATCACCCCGCCCCATTCTCCCGCTTTCCATCACCCCGCCCCATTCTCCCGTTTTCCATCACCCCGCCCCATTCTCCCTCCTTCCATCACCCCGCCCCATTCTCCCGCTTTCCATCACCCCGCCCCATTCTCCCGTTTTCCATCACCCTGCCCCATTCTCCCGCTTTCCATCACCCCGCCCCATTCTCCCGCTTTCCATCACCCCGCCCCATTCTCCCGCTTTCCATCACCCCGCCCCATTCTCCCGCATTCCATCACCCCGCCCCATTCTCCCTCCTTCCATCACCCCGCCCCATTCTCCCCCCTTCCATCACCCCGCCCCATTCTCCCGCTTTCCATCACCCCGCCCCATTCTCCCGCTTTCCATCACCCCGCCCCATTCTCCCGCCTTCCATCACCCCGCCCCATTCTCCGGCCTTCCATCACCCCGCCCCATTCTCCCGCTTTCCATCACCCCGCCCCATTCTCCCGCTTTCCATCACCCCGCCCCATTCTCCCGCTTTCCATCACCCCGCCCCATTCTCCCGCTTTCCATCACCCCGCCCCATTCTCCCTCCTTCCATCACCCCGCCCCATTCTCCCGCTTTCCATCACCCCGCCCCATTCTCCCGCTTTCCATCACCCCTCCCCATTCTCCCGCTTTCCATCACCCCGCCCCATTCTCCCTCCTTCCATCACCCCGCCTCATTCTCCCTCCTTCCATCACCCCGCCCCATTCTCCCGCTTTCCATCACCCCGCCCCATTCTCCCGCTTTCCATCACCCCGCCCCATTCTCCCGCTTTCCATCACCCCGCCCCATTCTCCCGCTTTCCATCACCCCGCCCCATTCTCCCGCTTTCCATCACCCCGCCCCATTCTCCCGCTTTCCATCACCCCGCCCCATTCTCCCGCTTTCCATCACCCCGCCCCATTCTCCCGCTTTCCATCACCCCGCCCCATTCTCCCGCTTTCCATCACCCCGCCCCATTCTCCCGCTTTCCATCACCCCGCCCCATTCTCCCGCTTTCCATCACCCCGCCCCATTCTCCCGCTTTCCATCACCCCGCCCCATTCTCCCGCTTTCCATCACCCCGCCCCATTCTCCCGCTTTCCATCACCCTGCCCCATTCTCCCGCTTTCCTTCACCCCGCCCCATTCTCCCGCTTTCCATCACCCCGCCCCATTCTCCCGCATTCCATCACCCCGCCCCATTCTCCCTCCTTCCATCACCCCGCCCCATTCTCCCGCTTTCCATCACCCCGCCCCATTCTCCCTCCTTCCATCACCCCGCCTCATTCTCCCTCCTTCCATCACCCCGCCCCATTCTCCCGCTTTCCATCACCCCGCCCCATTCTCCCGCTTTCCATCACCCCGCCCCATTCTCCCGCTTTCCATCACCCCGCCCCATTCTCCCTCCTTCCATCACCCCGCCCCATTCTCCCGCTTTCCATCACCCCACCCAATTCTCCCGCTTTCCATCACCCCGCCCCATTCTCCCGCTTTCCGTCACCCCGCCCCATTCTCCTGCTTTCCATCACCCCGCCCCATTCTCCCGCTTTCCATCACCCCGCCCCATTCTCCCGCTTTCCGTCACCACGCCCCATTCTCCCGCTTTCCATCACCCCGCCCCATTCTCCCGCTTTCCATCACCCCGCCCCATTCTCCCTCCTTCCATCACCCCGCCCCATTCTCCCTCCTTCCATCACCCCGCCCCATTCTCCCGCCTTCCATCACCCCGCCCCATTCTCCCGCTTTCCATCACCCCGCCCCATTCTCCCGCTTTCCATCACCCCGCCCCATTGTCCCTCCTTCCATCACCCCGCCCCATTGTCCCTCCTTCCATCACCCCGCCCCATTCTCCCTCCTTCCATCACCCCGGCCCATTCTCCCTCCTTCCATCACCCCGCCCCATTCTCCCGCTTTCCATCACCCCACCCCATTCTCCCGCTTTCCATCACCCCGCCCCATTCTCCCGCTTTCCATCACCCCGCCCCATTCTCCCGCCTTCCATCACCCCGCACCATTCTCCCGCTATCCATCACCCCGCCCCATACTCCCGCTTTCCATCACCCCGCCCCATTCTCCCGCTTTCCATCACCCCGCCCCATTCTCCCTCCTTCCATCACCCCGCCCCATTCTCCAGCTTTCCATCACCCCGCCCCATTCTACCTCCTTCCATCACCCCGCCACATTCTCCCTCCTTCCATCACCCCGCCCCATTCTCCCGCATTCCATCACCCCGCCCCATTCTCCCACTTTCCATCACCCCGCCCCATTCTCCCGCCTTCCATCACCCCGCCCCATTCTCCCGCCTTCCATCACCCCGCCCCATTCTCCCGCCTTCCATCACCCTGCCCCATTCTCCCGCTTTCCATCACCCCGCCCCATTCTCCCGCTTTCCATCACCCCGCCCCATTCTCCCGCTTTCCATCACCCCGCCCCATTCTCCCGCTTTCCATCACCCCGCCGCGCCCCATTCTCCCGCTTTCCATCACCCCGCCCCATTCTCCCGCTTTCCATCACCCCGCCCCATTCTCCCGCTTTCCGTCACCACGCCCCATTCTCCCGCTTTCCATCACCCCGCCCCATTCTCCCGCTTTCCATCACCCCGCCCCATTCTCCCTCCTTCCATCACCCTACCCCATTCTCCCTCCTTCCATCACCCCGCCCCATTCTCCCGCCTTCCATCACCCCGCCCCATTCTCCCGCTTTCCATCACCCCGCCCCATTCTCCCGCTTTCCATCACCCCGCCCCATTCTCCCTCCTTCCATCACCCCGCCCCATTCTACCTCCTTCCATCACCCCGCCCCATTCTCCCTCCTTCCATCACCCCGCCCCATTCTCCCTCCTTCCATCACCCCTCCCCATTCTCCCGCTTTCCATCACCCCGCCCCATTCTCCCGCTTTCCATCACCCCGCCCCATTCTCTTGCTTTCCATCACCCCTCCCCATTCTCCCTCCTTCGATCACCCCGCCCCATTCTCCCGCCTTCCATCACCCCGCCCCATTCTCCCGCTTTCCATCACCCCGCCCCATTCTCCCTCCTTCCATCACCCCGCCCCATTCTCCCTCCTTCCATCACCCCTCCCCATTCTCCCGCTTTCCATCACCCCGCCCCATTCTCCCGCTTTCCATCACCCCGCCCCATTCTCTTGCTTTCCATCACCCCTCCCCATTCTCCCTCCTTCGATCACCCCGCCCCATTCTCCCGCTTTCCATCACCCCGCCCCATTCTCCCGCTTTCCATCACCCCGCCCCATTCTCCCGCTTTCCATCACCCCGCCCCATTCTCCCGCTTTCCATCACCCCGCCCCATTCTCCCTCCTTCCATCACCCCGCCCCATTCTCCCGCTTTCCATCACCCCGCCCCATTCTCCCGCTTTCCATCACCCCTCCCCATTCTCCCGCTTTCCATCACCCCGCCCCATTCTCCCTCCTTCCATCACCCCGCCTCATTCTCCCTCCTTCCATCACCCCGCCCCATTCTCCCGCTTTCCATCACCCCGCCCCATTCTCCCGCTTTCCATCACCCCGCCCCATTCTCCCGCTTTCCATCACCCCGCCCCATTCTCCCGCTTTCCATCACCCCGCCCCATTCTCCCGCTTTCCATCACCCCGCCCCATTCTCCCGCTTTCCATCACCCCGCCCCATTCTCCCGCTTTCCATCACCCCGCCCCATTCTCCCGCTTTCCATCACCCCGCCCCATTCTCCCGCTTTCCATCACCCCGCCCCATTCTCCCGCTTTCCATCACCCCGCCCCATTCTCCCGCTTTCCATCACCCCGCCCCATACTCCCGCTTTCCATCACCCCGCCCCATTCTCCCGCTTTCCATCACCCTGCCCCATTCTCCCGCTTTCCATCACCCCGCCCCATTCTCCCGCTTTCCATCACCCCGCCCCATTCTCCCGCATTCCATCACCCCGCCCCATTCTCCCTCCTTCCATCACCCCGCCCCATTCTCCCGCTTTCCATCACCCCGCCCCATTCTCCCTCCTTCCATCACCCCGCCTCATTCTCCCTCCTTCCATCACCCCGCCCCATTCTCCCGCTTTCCATCACCCCGCCCCATTCTCCCGCTTTCCATCACCCCGCCCCATTCTCCCGCTTTCCATCACCCCGCCCCATTCTCCCTCCTTCCATCACCCCGCCCCATTCTCCCGCTTTCCATCACCCCACCCAATTCTCCCGCTTTCCATCACCCCGCCCCATTCTCCCGCTTTCCGTCACCCCGCCCCATTCTCCCGCTTTCCATCACCCCGCCCCATTCTCCCGCTTTCCATCACCCCGCCCCATTCTCCCGCTTTCCGTCACCACGCCCCATTCTCCCGCTTTCCATCACCCCGCCCCATTCTCCCGCTTTCCATCACCCCGCCCCATTCTCCCTCCTTCCATCACCCCGCCCCATTCTCCCTCCTTCCATCACCCCGCCCCATTCTCCCGCCTTCCATCACCCCGCCCCATTCTCCCGCTTTCCATCACCCCGCCCCATTCTCCCGCTTTCCATCACCCCGCCCCATTGTCCCTCCTTCCATCACCCCGCCCCATTGTCCCTCCTTCCATCACCCCGCCCCATTCTCCCTCCTTCCATCACCCCGGCCCATTCTCCCTCCTTCCATCACCCCGCCCCATTCTCCCGCTTTCCATCACCCCACCCCATTCTCCCGCTTTCCATCACCCCGCCCCATTCTCCCGCTTTCCATCACCCCGCCCCATTCTCCCGCCTTCCATCACCCCGCACCATTCTCCCGCTATCCATCACCCCGCCCCATACTCCCTCTTTCCATCACCCCGCCCCATTCTCCCGCTTTCCATCACCCCGCCCCATTCTCCCTCCTTCCATCACCCCGCCCCATTCTCCAGCTTTCCATCACCCCGCCCCATTCTACCTCCTTCCATCACCCCGCCACATTCTCCCTCCTTCCATCACCCCGCCCCATTCTCCCGCATTCCATCACCCCGCCCCATTCTCCCACTTTCCATCACCCCGCCCCATTCTCCCGCCTTCCATCACCCCGCCCCATTCTCCCGCCTTCCATCACCCCGCCCCATTCTCCCGCCTTCCATCACCCTGCCCCATTCTCCCGCTTTCCATCACCCCGCCCCATTCTCCCGCTTTCCATCACCCCGCCCCATTCTCCCGCTTTCCATCACCCCGCCCCATTCTCCCGCTTTCCATCACCCCGCCGCGCCCCATTCTCCCGCTTTCCATCACCCCGCCCCATTCTCCCGCTTTCCATCACCCCGCCCCATTCTCCCGCTTTCCGTCACCACGCCCCATTCTCCCGCTTTCCATCACCCCGCCCCATTCTCCCGCTTTCCATCACCCCGCCCCATTCTCCCTCCTTCCATCACCCTACCCCATTCTCCCTCCTTCCATCACCCCGCCCCATTCTCCCGCCTTCCATCACCCCGCCCCATTCTCCCGCTTTCCATCACCCCGCCCCATTCTCCCGCTTTCCATCACCCCGCCCCATTCTCCCTCCTTCCATCACCCCGCCCCATTCTACCTCCTTCCATCACCCCGCCCCATTCTCCCTCCTTCCATCACCCCGCCCCATTCTCCCTCCTTCCATCACCCCTCCCCATTCTCCCGCCTTCCATCACCCCGCCCCATTCTCCCGCTTTCCATCACCCCGCCCCATTCTCTTGCTTTCCATCACCCCTCCCCATTCTCCCTCCTTCGATCACCCCGCCCCATTCTCCCGCCTTCCATCACCCCGCCCCATTCTCCCGCTTTCCATCACCCCGCCCCATTCTCCCTCCTTCCATCACCCCGCCCCATTCTCCCTCCTTCCATCACCCCGCCCCATTATCCCGCTTTCCATCACCCCGCCCCATTCGCCCGCTTTCCATCACCCCGCCCCATTCTCCCTCCTTCCATCACCCCGCCCCATTCTCCCGCTTTCCATCACCCCGCCCCATTCTCCCGCTTTCCATCACCCCGCCCCATTCTCCCGCTTTCCATCACCCCGCCCCATTCTCCCGCTTTCCATCACCCCGCCCCATTCTCCCGCTTTCCATCACCCCGCCCCATTCTCCCGCTTTCCATCACCCCGCCCCATTCTCCCGCTTTCCGTCACCCCGCCCCATTCTCCTGCTTTCCATCACCACGCCCCATTCTCCCGCTTTCCATCACCCCGCCCCATTCTCCCGCTTTCCATCACCCCGCCCCATTCTCCCTCCTCCATCACCCCGCCCCATTCTCCCGCCTTCCATCACCCCGCCCCATTCTCCCACTTTCCATCACCCCGCCCCATTCTCCCGCTTTCCATCACCCCGCCCCATTCTCCCTCCTTCCATCACCCCGCCCCATTGTCCCTCCTTCCATCACCCCGCCCCATTCTCCCTCCTTCCATCAACCCGCCCCATTCTCCCTCCTTCCATCACCCCGCCCCATTCTCCCGCCTTCCATCACCCAGTCCCATTTTCCCGCTTTCCATCACCCCGCTTCATTCTCCCGCTTTCCATCACCCCGCCCCATTCTCCCGCTTTCCATCACCCCGCCCCATTCTCCCGCTTTCCATCACCCCGCCCCATTCTCCCACTTTCCATCATCCCGCCCCATTCTCCCGCTTTCCATCACCCCGCCCCATTCTCCCTCCTTCCATCACCCCGCCCCATTCGCCCGCTTTCCATCACCCCGCCCCATTCTCCCTCCTTCCATCACCTCGCCCCATTCTAACTCCTTCCATCACCCCGCCCCATTCTCCCTCCTTCCATCACCCCTCCCCATTCTCCCGCTTTCCATCACCCCGCCCCATTCTCCCGCTTTCCATCACCCCGCCCCATTCTCTCGCTTTCCATCACCCCACCCCATTCTCCCTCCTTCCATCACCCCGCCCCATTCTCCCGCCTTCCATCACCCAGCCCCATTTTCCCGCTTTCCATCACCCCGCTTCATTCTCCCGCTTTCCATCACCCCGCCCCATTCTCCCGCTTTCCATCACCCCGCACCATTCTCCCGCTTTCCATCACCCCGCCCCATTCTCCCGCTTTCCATCACCCCGCCTTATTCTCCCTCCTTCCATCACCCCACCCCATTCTCCCTCCTTCCATCACTCCGCCCCATTCTCCCGCTTTCCATCACCCCGCCCCATTCTCCCGCCTGCACATGTGCGTATCCTTCCGCATTTTGAGGCTGGAAGCACTCGTTCAGAGCGTTTTTCTTCCATTGGCTCACGTGGCTGCGCTTGTCTGGTCCTATTACCAAGCCAGCAAGGGCGTGGGAGGGTTGCGAGCATCATCGGTCATCGGCGATCGCGAATGTAGAGCGCCCGCTGCACTTCCTGCACATGTGCGTATCCTTCCGCATTTTGGGGCTAGAAGCGCTCGTTCCGAGCGTTTTTCTTCCACCAGGTCACGTGGCTGTGCTTCTCTGGTCCTATTACCAAGCCAGCAAGGGCGTGGGAGGGTTGCGAGCATCATCGGTCATCGGCGATCGCGAATGGAGAGCGCCCGCTGCACTTCCTGCACATGTGCGTATCCTTCCGCATTTTGGTGCTGGAAGCGCTCGTTCCGAGTGTTTTTCTTCCACCGGGTCACGTGACTGCGCTTCTCTGGTCCTATTACCAAGCCAGCAAGGGCGTAGGAGGGTTGCAAGCAACATCGATCATCGGCGATCGCGAATGGAGAGTGCCCGCTGCACATCCTGCACATGTGCGGATCCTTCTGCATTTTGAGGCTGGAAGCGCTCGTTCCGAGTGTTTTTCTTCCGCCGGGTCACGTGGCTGCGCTTGTCTGGTTCTATACCAAGCCATCAAGGGCGTGGGAGGGTTGCGAGCATCATCGGTCATCGGCGATCGCGAATGGAGAGCGCCCGCTGCACTTCCTGCACATGTGCGTATCCTTCCGCATTTTGAGGCTGGAAGCGCTCGTTCCGAGCGTTTTTCTTCCACCGGGTCACATGGCTGCGCTTCTCTGGTCCTATTACCAAGCCAGCAAGGGCGTGGGAGGGTTGCGAGCATCATCGGTCATCGGCGATCGCGAATGGAGAGCGCCCGCTGCACTTCCTTCACATGTGCGTATCCTTCCGCATTTTGAGGCTGGAAGCGCTCGTTCCGAGCGTTTTTATTCCGCCGGGTCACGTGGCTGCGCTTGTCTGGTCCTATTACCAAGCCAGCAAGGGCGTGGGAGGGTTGCGAGCATCATCTTTCATCGGCGATCGCGAATGGAGAGCGCCCGCTGCACTTCCTGCACATGTGCGTATCCTTCCCCATTTTGAGGCTGGAAGCGCTCGTTCCGAGCGCTTTTCTTCCACCGGGTCACGTGGCTGCGCTTCTCTGGTCCTATTACCAAGCCAGCAAGGGCGTGGGAGGGTTGCGAGCATCATCGGTCATCGGCGATCGCGAAGGGAGAGCGCCCGCTGCACTTCCTGCACATGTGCGTATCCTTCCGCATTTTGGGGCTGGAAGCGCTCCGGGTCACGTGGCTGCGCTTCTCTGGTCCTATTACCAAGCCAGCAAGGGCGTGGGAGGGTTGCGAGCATCATCGGTCATCGGCGGTCGCGAATGGAGAGCTCCCGCTGCACTTCCTGCACATGTGCGTATCCTTCCGCATTTTGAGGCTGGAAGCGCTCTTCCAAGCGTTTTCTTCCACCGGGTCACGTGGCTGCGCTTCTCTGGTCCTATTACCAAGCCAGCAAGGGCGTGGGAGGGTTGCGAGCATCATCGGTCATCGGCGATCGCGAATGGAGAGCGCCCGCTGCACTTCCTTCACATGTGCGTATCCTTCCGCTTTTTGGGGCTGGAAGCGCTTGTTCCGAGCGTTTTTCTTCCGCCGGGTCACGTGGCTGCGCTTGTCTGGTCCTATTACCAAGCCAGCAAGGGCGTGGGAGGGTTGCGAGCATCATCGGTCATCGGCGATCGCGAATGGAGAGCGCCCGCTGCACTTCCTGCACATGTGCGTATCCTTCCCATTTTGGGGCTGGAAGCGCTTGTTCCGAGCGTTTTTCTTCCACCGGGTCACGTGGCTGCGTTTCTCTGGTCCTATTACCAAGCCAGCAAGGGCATGGGAGGGTTGCAAGCATCATCGGTCATCGGCGATCGCGAATGGATAGCGCCCGCTGCACTTCCTGCACATGTGCGTATCCTTCCGCATTTTGAGGCTGGAAGCGCTCGTTCCGAGCGTTTTTCTTCCACCGGGTCACGTGGCTGTGCTTGTCTGGTCCTATTACCAAGCCAGCAAGGGCGTGGGAGGGTTGCGAGCATCATCGGTCATCGGCGGTCGCGAATGGAGAGCGCCCGCTGCACTTCCTGCACATGTGCGTATCCTTCCGCATTTTGAGGCTGGAAGCGCTCGTTCCAAGCGTTTTCTTCCACCGGGTCACGTGGCTGCGCTTCTCTGGTCCTATTACCAAGCCAGCAAGGGCGTGGGAGGGTTGCGAGCATCATCGGTCATCGGCGATCGCGAATGGAGAGCGCCCGTTGCACTTCCTGCATATGTGCGTATCCTTCCGCATTTTGGGGCTGGAAGCGCTTGTTCCGAGCGTTTTTCTTCCGCCGGGTCACGTGGCTGCGCTTGTCTGGCCCTATTACCAAGCCAGCAAGGGCGTGGGAGGGTTGCGAGCATCATCGGTCATCGGCGATCGCGAATGGAGAGCGCTCGCTGCACTTCCTGCACATGTGCGTATCCTTCATTTTGAGGCTGGAAGCGCTCGTTCCGTGCGTTTTTCTTCAACCGGGTCACGTGGCTGCGCTTCTTTGGTCCTATTACCAAGCCAGCAAGGGCGTGGGAGGGTTGCGAGCATCATCGGTCATCGGCGATCGCGAATGGAGAGCGCCCGCTGCACTTCCTGCACATGTGCGTATCCTTCCGCATTTTGGGGCTAAAAGCGCTCGTTCCGAGTGTTTTTCTTCTGCCGGGTCACGTGGCTGCGCTTGTCTGGTTCTATTACCAAGCCAGCAAGGGCCTGGGAGGGTTGCGAGCATCATCGGTCATCGGCGATCGCGAATGGAGAGCGCCCGCTGCACTTCCTGCACATGTGCGTATCCTTCCACATTTTGAGGCTGGAAGCGCTCGTTCCGTGCGTTTTTCTTCCGCCGGGTCACGTGGCTGCGCTTCTCTGGTCCTATTACCAAGCCAGCAAGGGCGTGGGAGGGTTGCGAGCATCATCGGTCATCGGCGATCGCGAATGGAGAGCGCCCGCTGCACTTCCTCCACATGTGCGTAACCTTCTGCATTCTGAGGCTGGAAGCGCTCGTTCCGAGCGTTTTTCTTCCGCCGGGTCACGCGGCTGCGCTTGTCTGGTCCTATTACCAAGCCAGCAAGGGCGTGGGAGGGTTGCGAGCATCATCGGTCATCGGCGATCGCGAATGGAGAGCGCCCGCTGCACTTCCTGCACATGTGCGTATCCTTCCGCATTCTGAGGCTGGAAGCGCTCGTTCCGAGCGTTTTACTTCCGCCGGGTCACGCGGCTGCGCTTGTCTGGTCCTATTACCAAGCCAGCAAGGGCGTGGGAGGGTTGCGAGCATCATCGGTCATCGGCGATCGCGAATGGAGAGCGCCCGCTGCACTTCCTGCACATGTGCGTATCCTTCCGCATTCTGAGGCTGGAAGCGCTCGTTCCGAGCGTTTTTCTTCCGCCGGGTCACGCGGCTGCGCTTGTCTGGTCCTATTACCAAGCCAGCAAGGGCGTGGGAGGGTTGCGAGCATCATCGGTCATCGGCGATCGCGAATGGAGAGCGCCCGCTGCACTTCCTGCACATGTGCGTATCCTTCCGCATTTTGGGGCTAAAAGCGCTCGTTCCGAGTGTTTTTCTTCTGCCGGGTCACGTGGCTGCGCTTGTCTGGTTCTATTACCAAGCCAGCAAGGGCGTGGGAGGGTTGCGAGCATCATCGGTCATCGGCGATCGCGAAGGGAGAGCGCCCGCTGCACTTCCTGCACATGTGCGTATCCTTCCGCATTTTGGGGCTGGAAGCGCTCCGGGTCACGTGGCTGCGCTTCTCTGGTCCTATTACCAAGCCAGCAAGGGCGTGGGAGGGTTGCGAGCATCATCGGTCATCGGCGGTCGCGAATGGAGAGCTCCCGCTGCACTTCCTGCACATGTGCGTATCCTTCCGCATTTTGAGGCTGGAAGCGCTCTTCCAAGCGTTTTCTTCCACCGGGTCACGTGGCTGCGCTTCTCTGGTCCTATTACCAAGCCAGCAAGGGCGTGGGAGGGTTGCGAGCATCATCGGTCATCGGCGATCGCGAATGGAGAGCGCCCGCTGCACTTCCTGCACATGTGCGTATCCTTCCGCATTTTGAGGCTGGAAGCGCTCGTTCCGAGCGTTTTTATTCCGCCGGGTCACGTGGCTGCGCTTGTCTGGTCCTATTACCAAGCCAGCAAGGGCGTGGGAGGGTTGCGAGCATCATCTTTCATCGGCGATCGCGAATGGAGAGCGCCCGCTGCACTTCCTGCACATGTGCGTATCCTTCCCCATTTTGAGGCTGGAAGCGCTCGTTCCGAGCGCTTTTCTTCCACCGGGTCACGTGGCTGCGCTTCTCTGGTCCTATTACCAAGCCAGCAAGGGCGTGGGAGGGTTGCGAGCATCATCGGTCATCGGCGATCGCGAAGGGAGAGCGCCCGCTGCACTTCCTGCACATGTGCGTATCCTTCCGCATTTTGGGGCTGGAAGCGCTCCGGGTCACGTGGCTGCGCTTCTCTGGTCCTATTACCAAGCCAGCAAGGGCGTGGGAGGGTTGCGAGCATCATCGGTCATCGGCGGTCGCGAATGGAGAGCTCCCGCTGCACTTCCTGCACATGTGCGTATCCTTCCGCATTTTGAGGCTGGAAGCGCTCTTCCAAGCGTTTTCTTCCACCAGGTCACGTGGCTGCGCTTCTCTGGTCCTATTACCAAGCCAGCAAGGGCGTGGGAGGGTTGCGAGCATCATCGGTCATCGGCGATCGCGAATGGAGAGCGCCCGCTGCACTTCCTGCACATGTGCGTATCCTTCCGCATTCTGAGGCTGGAAGCGCTCGTTCCGAGCGTTTTACTTCCGCCGGGTCACGCGGCTGCGCTTGTCTGGTCCTATTACCAAGCCAGCAAGGGCGTGGGAGGGTTGCGAGCATCATCGGTCATCGGCGATCGCGAATGGAGAGCGCCCGCTGCACTTCCTGCACATGTGCGTATCCTTCCGCATTCTGAGGCTGGAAGCGCTCGTTCCGAGCGTTTTTCTTCCGCCGGGTCACGCGGCTGCGCTTGTCTGGTCCTATTACCAAGCCAGCAAGGGCGTGGGAGGGTTGCGAGCATCATCGGTCATCGGCGATCGCGAATGGAGAGCGCCCGCTGCACTTCCTGCACATGTGCGTATCCTTCCGCATTCTGAGGCTGGAAGCGCTCGTTCCGAGCGTTTTTCTTCCGCCGGGTCACGCGGCTGCGCTTGTCTGGTCCTATTACCAAGCCAGCAAGGGCGTGGGAGGGTTGCGAGCATCATCGGTCATCGGCGATCGCGAATGGAGAGCGCCCGCTGCACTTCCTGCACATGTGCGTATCCTTCCGCATTTTGGGGCTAAAAGCGCTCGTTCCGAGTGTTTTTCTTCTGCCGGGTCACGTGGCTGCGCTTGTCTGGTTCTATTACCAAGCCAGCAAGGGCCTGGGAGGGTTGCGAGCATCATCGGTCATCGGCGATCGCGAATGGAGAGCGCCCGCTGCACTTCCTGCACATGTGCGTATCCTTCCACATTTTGAGGCTGGAAGCGCTCGTTCCGTGCGTTTTTCTTCCGCCGGGTCACGTGGCTGCGCTTCTCTGGTCCTATTACCAAGCCAGCAAGGGCGTGGGAGGGTTGCGAGCATCATCGGTCATCGGCGATCGCGAATGGAGAGCGCCCGCTGCACTTCCTCCACATGTGCGTAACCTTCTGCATTCTGAGGCTGGAAGCGCTCGTTCCGAGCGTTTTTCTTCCGCCGGGTCACGCGGCTGCGCTTGTCTGGTCCTATTACCAAGCCAGCAAGGGCGTGGGAGGGTTGCGAGCATCATCGGTCATCGGCGATCGCGAATGGAGAGCGCCCGCTGCACTTCCTGCACATGTGCGTATCCTTCCGCATTCTGAGGCTGGAAGCGCTCGTTCCGAGCGTTTTACTTCCGCCGGGTCACGCGGCTGCGCTTGTCTGGTCCTATTACCAAGCCAGCAAGGGCGTGGGAGGGTTGCGAGCATCATCGGTCATCGGCGATCGCGAATGGAGAGCGCCCGCTGCACTTCCTGCACATGTGCGTATCCTTCCGCATTCTGAGGCTGGAAGCGCTCGTTCCGAGCGTTTTTCTTCCGCCGGGTCACGCGGCTGCGCTTGTCTGGTCCTATTACCAAGCCAGCAAGGGCGTGGGAGGGTTGCGAGCATCATCGGTCATCGGCGATCGCGAATGGAGAGCGCCCGCTGCACTTCCTGCACATGTGCGTATCCTTCCGCATTTTGGGGCTAAAAGCGCTCGTTCCGAGTGTTTTTCTTCTGCCGGGTCACGTGGCTGCGCTTGTCTGGTTCTATTACCAAGCCAGCAAGGGCCTGGGAGGGTTGCGAGCATCATCGGTCATCGGCGATCGCGAATGGAGAGCGCCCGCTGCACTTCCTGCACATGTGCGTATCCTTCCACATTTTGAGGCTGGAAGCGCTCGTTCCGTGCGTTTTTCTTCCGCCGGGTCACGTGGCTGCGCTTCTCTGGTCCTATTACCAAGCCAGCAAGGGCGTGGGAGGGTTGCGAGCATCATCGGTCATCGGCGATCGCGAATGGAGAGCGCCCGCTGCACTTCCTCCACATGTGCGTAACCTTCTGCATTCTGAGGCTGGAAGCGCTCGTTCCGAGCGTTTTTCTTCCGCCGGGTCACGCGGCTGCGCTTGTCTGGTCCTATTACCAAGCCAGCAAGGGCGTGGGAGGGTTGCGAGCATCATCGGTCATCGGCGATCGCGAATGGAGAGCGCCCGCTGCACTTCCTGCACATGTGCGTATCCTTCCGCATTCTGAGGCTGGAAGCGCTCGTTCCGAGCGTTTTACTTCCGCCGGGTCACGCGGCTGCGCTTGTCTGGTCCTATTACCAAGCCAGCAAGGGCGTGGGAGGGTTGCGAGCATCATCGGTCATCGGCGATCGCGAATGGAGAGCGCCCGCTGCACTTCCTGCACATGTGCGTATCCTTCCGCATTCTGAGGCTGGAAGCGCTCGTTCCGAGCGTTTTTCTTCCGCCGGGTCACGCGGCTGCGCTTGTCTGGTCCTATTACCAAGCCAGCAAGGGCGTGGGAGGGTTGCGAGCATCATCGGTCATCGGCGATCGCGAATGGAGATAGCCCGCTGCACTTCCTGCACATGTGCGTAATCTTCCGCATTTTGAGGCTGGAAGCGCTCGGAACGAGCGCTTTTCTTCCGCCGGGTCACGTGGCTGCGCTTGTCTGGTCCTATTACCAAGCCAGCAAGGGCGTGGGAGGGTTGCGAGCATCATCGGTCATCGGCGATCGCGAATGGAGAGCGCCCGCTGCACTTCCTGCACATGTGCGTATCCTTCCGCATTTTGGGGCTGGAAGCGCTCGTTCCGAGCGTTATTCTTCCACCGGGTCACGTGGCTGCGCTTGTCTGGTCCTATTACCAAGCCAGCAAGGGCGTGGGAGGGTTGCGAGCATCATCGGTCATCGGCGATCGCGAATGGAGAGCGCCCGCTGCACTTCCTGCACATGTGCGTATCCTTCCGCATTTTGGCGCTGGAAGCGCTCGTTCCGAGCGTTTTTCTTCCGCCGGGTCACGTGGCTGCGCTTGTCTGTTCCTATTACCAAGTCAGTAAGGGTGTGGGAGGGTTGCGAGCATTATCGGTCATCGGCGATCGCGAATGGAGAGCGCCCGCTGCACTTCCTGCACATGTGCGTATCCTTCCGCATTTTGAGGCTGGAAGCGCTCGTTCCGAGCGTTTTTCTTCCGCCGGGTCATGCGGCTGCGCTTGTCTGATCCTATTACCAAGCCAGCAAGGGCATGGGAGGGTTGCGAGCATCATTGGTCATCGGCGCTCGCGAATGGAGAGCGCCTGCAGCACTTCCTGCACATGTGCTGATCCTTCCGCATTTTGAGGCTGGAAGCGCTCGTTGCGAGCGTTTTTCTTCCGTTAGGTCACGTGGCTGCGCTTGTCTGGTCCTATTACCAAGCCAGCAAGGGCGTGGGAGGGTTGCGAGCATCATCGGTCATCGGCGATCGCGAATGGAGAGCGCCCGCTGCACTTCCTGCACATGTGCGTGTCCTTCCGCATTTTGGGGCTGGAAGTGCTCATTCCGAGCGTTTTTCTTCCATCGGGTCACGTGGCTGCGCTTCTCTGGTCCTATTACCAAGCCAGCAAGGGCGTGGGAGGGTTGCGAGCATCATCGGTCATCGGCGATCGCGAATGAAGAGCGCCCGCTGCACTTCCTGCACATGTGCGTATCCTTCCGCATTTTGGGGCTGGAAGCGCTCGTTCCGAGCGTTTTTCTTCCACCGGGTCACGTGGCTGCGCTTCTCTGGTCCTAATACCAAGCCAGCAAGGGCGTGGGAGGGTTGCGAGCATCATCGGTCATCGGCGATCGCGAATGGAGAGCGCCCGCTGCACTTCCTGCACGTGTGCGTATCCTTCCGCATTTTGGGGCTGGAAGCGCTCGTTCCGAGCGTTTTTCTTCCGCCCGGTCACGCGGCTGCGCTTGACTGGTCCTATTACCAAGCCAGCAAGGGCGTGAGAGGCTTGCCATCGTCGAACCGCGCTTCCGCGAAGCGGTCTCGACAGCAGAAGCAGGAGCGACTCGAGGAGCTCGAGATTCAGAGCGCGAAGCTGCGCGTCGAGAATGCGGCCGTCATGCGGCGCTTGAACGAGGCGTCTGAGCACATTCGGCAATACCAAGAGAGCAACGACCGCCTACAGAACGAGCTCAAACGGCTACGCGACGCGCTCGCTCGCGCCGGCGTTCCCGTTGCGAACAAGCCGGCTGACGCGGCGGCGGACGCGGATTTCGCGCTCAAGGTTGGTCAGGCGGGGAAACAGGAGGTGGCGGAGCCTTTGGCGGAAGGCGCGGGTAACAAGCGCGCGAGATTAGTGGCGTCGACGAGTTTTGAAGAGTCGGAAGAGGAGGGCGTGCATTCCCCCAGCGCGATCACTGGCGCGACCGCGCCTCCGTCGCATGCAGAGGGAGTCGCGGCGGATGCGGCTGTGGTGGCGCACGGGGCGAACGCGGGGAATGAGGGGCTGGCGCGGGCGCGCGCGGAGGGCGCGGGGATGGCGGGCGCGAAGGGGATGGGGATGAAAGATGCAGACACATTGGCGGACGCTGAGTTCATGGCGGGGCTGATTGGGTGCTTCGACGATGGCAAGCCTCTCGAAGCGCTTATCGGAACGCGACGGGGGGGCTTGGATTCTGGAATGAGAAGTGGTTTTGGCGGGTTATGAGATGGCCGTTCGGGTTGATGGTATGGGTTTGAGAAGGGGGGGGGGAGGAGGGATGGGATCATGGGTCTGGGGATGGATGCGGGAAATATCCTTATTATTGTCCAGTATGCCTAAGGGCCTGTGCCCATCAGGCCCCTAGATTCGTTTTGAGGTAGTCTGACGCCTCAGAGTACACCCCTCTTCCTAGTCTGGCTGTCAGAGTTACCTATATTTTTTAGTCTGAAAATTCAGACAAGCACAACTTTTTCTGTCTGAACTGTCAGAGTTACTTCAATTTTTAAGATGTTCATGCAGTTATAATAGCACTGAAGCTGATTACAGCCTACCAGCGCATCAGGCAACGTGCTCGTGCATCGCACTGCTCATGTCGGCGGCGTTCTCGTCTTTTTGTCACGTGCAGCGCATGGTTGTTTCTGCTGATATCATTTCGTTTTGTCGTGTGTGTGATTACCATTCTGTACCTATTCAATTTTGGATTTCTGTTTCTAGCGATTCGTTCGTTCACCCGATCCGTATCAGGTGGGCCAAGTGCCACGCAGCTGAGCTGTCAGCAGGCGGAACTGTTGCTTGGCGTGGCGTGCGAGCTTCAGGTAGTGCCACGCGAAACTTTCACTACGAGTCAGGACCTTCACAATTTCACAGGAGTGCGTGCTGCAGATGTTTTGACCGCGAACCAGCATCAAAGTCTCCTATTCTTCACAATACATTGGCGATAACTTACATGTGACGACGAGATTTTGTCATAAATATCCCGTAATCACGCAAACATCTCCTAAGCGTAACTGGAAGACATTCTCGACAAACGAGTGTATTCGGATGTCCCAGCTGTTGAAGTGTGTGCTGCTCACGCCCTGGCACTCCACTGCCATCTCGGAAGTGGGCATATTGAAAGGAAACCTCTAGGAAACTTCGCTTCGATAAGCACGCAGAGTGTACTCCCGATACCAGTCTGAGGCTCAGCCTACACTTCAAAAATTAGGCTGAAATTTCAGACAGCTCATAAACAAAACCTCTGAAAAATCAGACAAGGTACATAAAAAAATTCTTGGACTTCAGACTAGGTACAAAAAAAAAGTATGAACGGACTCTGAATCAGACTCTAAAGTCTGATATCTAGGGCACTGGTGCCCATGTAGGGAACATACGGTAGTGCTGTCAGGCACATGTATGCTAGGTTCCTTCCAACTAAACCCTTCAATGTAATTCCCAGAGTATCATGATTCATCAACAGAATTGGATCATGATGTTCAACCCCTACCTTGTCAGTACAAACTGCACCACACCACCTGCCACTCAAAAGGATTTCCTCCAGGTGTTATGAGGTGGTTGGGTGGGAAGTGCTAGTGACCACTGCATATTAGTTGTAGGAAGGTACCACTACATGTCACTAGCTGTGGCATGGGATGTCCTCCCTACCCTGCACCTCCCTACCCTGCATCATCTCTTCTACTGCCACTGTGACTGGATTGAGCATCAGCAGAGTGAAGCTCCAATCCCTCCCCGCATGCACTAGGAACCTCCTCCTTCCCATCCTCCAATGTCTTCATTGCTGTGAGCTTGTTGCGCCCGGCGTCTTCCATGCCTTGCTTGTGGTCGAGACAAATGGTGACGACTACAAGGGGTATGAACATGACCAGGAATATGTACACAAAGGTGGGCCGGATCGTGCCAGAAACCTGCAGGATGGAGGTAAAGGTGGGTGGGGGGTGGAGGAGGGAGAGGGAGGGGGTTGTGGGAAAGGCGGGAAGCGAGTAAGCAAGAGTTAGGGTACAGTATTGAGATGGAGGCAAGTGGGATGAGCTGATATTGAGGTTGTAAATGGGCATTTGATTGCCATGTGGGTGGCCTCTCTACACACCACAGTGATGGATGTATCCCATGCTGGATGTGCGTCCAGCTCAGCACACTCAGGAGCTCACTCGGCTAGCACACATTACTGCAATGCCTGGCAAGGAGCAGGTTAGCACATGGCATTGGAAACGGGCATACCAGTATCTCACCTGGGCGATGATGGCGACGACAAACGGGCCAAAGGACGAGCTGCCCTTGTCGCTGATGGTGTAGATGGCAAAGAACGCCCCCTCCTTGCCAGACGGCATAAGGTCCACATACAGTGTACGCGAATATGACAGTAGTGGGCCCAGACACAGGCCGAACCACCCCACGTATGCGAATAGCTCCCACGTGTGCTTCAACCCGAAGCTGTCTGTGAAGTAGCCGATGAGGCCCCACAGCGGCAGGGGTAGCATGCCGCCCAGAGCAATCATTGCCATTGTCTTGTTGCTCCACTTGGTTCGTCTTTGAATGAGGTAGAGAACAGGCATCCCGGCTGCCGCCCAGAACGAAACCGAGGTGGCGAGGATGGCGAGTGTTGCGGGCGGCACGCAGAGATCCTGCTGCCCGAAAATAACCCCCACTTGGATGATAGTGGAGAACCCATCAGCGTACACAAAGTAGCACGCGATGAACACGAGCGCGTTCCGGTGGTGCCGGTACGCGTCTGCTAGTGTGTCCCCCATGCCCCTCCAGCTCGCACCCACGACGCTGAAAAAGAACTGCACCCGGCTGTAGCACGAACCACAGCTGTAGCGGCAACCCCCGCAGGGCTCGCCCAAGCTGTAGCAGCAAGCCCCGCTACAGCCGGAGCAGCAGCAGCTTCCGTCCCTGCCTTCCTCCGCCCCCTCTGCTTCATGATTCCCCGCAGAGTGGGGAGGAGGAAGAGGGAGCGGGGGTCCCGGTCGGGCACGGAGAAAGTGGAAAGTGGGGAGCGCGAAGAGGATCCAGCAGACGCCGCAAAACGCGGTGGCAACGCGCATCTGAACCGACTCGTCCGATGAAACCAGCGTGAGCGCAAACGCAACGAGCGTGATCGGTATATCACCCAGACACCCCGCCGCGAGCCCAATAAGAGAGTACCGATTCTCCACGTCTTCCCGTGTGGACGCGACTGCTTCCGGGTCGGCCGTGGCCTCTGCGGAGAGTACTTCAGGCGAGGCGTGCACGAGGAGGGGCAGGTAGCCGTTGTAGCTGACGGTGGCGAGGCCGTATCCGATGCTGGCGATGATGACGAGCAGGCCGGCGAGCAGCCAGAGGGACGGAGTGAGCATGAAGAGGAGAGCCGTGCAGGCTGCTGCTCCCATCCACGTGCCCACCTTGAGCATCTGAATGGGGGGGGGGGGATTTGGAGAAGGTATGGGGTAGGGGAATGATGAGAGAAGGAATGAGTGGACAAGGCAGGCCGGAAGTTGGAAAGCGTGAAGAGGAGAGCTGTGCAGGCTGCAGCGCCCATCCACATGCCCACCTTGAGCATCTGGATGGGAAGAGGGGAGGTGGAGAGGAAACTGGGAATGATAAGATGAGTCTGGGTAACACGCAGGCTGGATCGCATCCAGAGGTATGAGTAGAGCAGGAGGAGACGGGAGGAAGTGAGAGGAGAAGGGAGGAAGTGAGAGGGGAGAAGTGAGGAAGTGAGGGGGAGAAGTGAGGAAGTGAGAGGGGAGAAGTGAGGAAGTGAGAGGGGAGAAGTGAGGAAGTGAGAGGGGAGAAGTGAGGAAGTGAGAGGGGAAAAGTGAGGAAGTGAGAGGGGAGAAGTGAGGAAGTGAGGGGGAGAAGTGAGGAAGTGAGGGGGAGAAGTGAGGAAGTGAGGGGGAGAAGTGAGGAAGTGAGGGGGAGGAGTGAGGAGAGGAGTTTCGGGTGGAGTGGATGGAGGGGGTGAGGGGAAGGGCGAGGAGGAGTGCTGCCCACGAACCTGCTTCCTGCCGCGACCGTAGTCGGTGAACGGGCCGAGCGACACGAGTGCGACGATCTGGCAGCACACGGCGACGCCGATCACGATCGTCGCGTAAGACACGGGGTTGATGCTAAGCGCGCCGAGCCGCACGCGCGGCTGCTCCAGCTCGCTGTATCCCCCCGCTGACGTCACCAGCTGGTTCCCCTTCCCCGGCACGCACTGCAGGCAGTCCGCGGTGATCAGATCGGTGCACTGCGGTGGCTTCGCGGCGCCCGAGTCGTTCCAGGCTTGCGCGTCGGCGAGGAGGAGCAGAAGGAGCGGGATGAAAATGGGCATAGCGACTGCGCTGAACGAGTTCGCTGCGACGTTGTACGAGTACCAACCCCATAGCTCCCGCTTCGTCAGGGGAACCCTCGAGCCCTCCGCGTATTCCTCTACTCCCGCGTATTCCCCGTTTCCTGCGTTTTCCACGCCTCCCGCGCTTCCTGCGCGCTTTCCGCTTCCGCCAGGGTCGTCAAGGTCGAGAAACGCGCTAGCGGCTTTCTGTCGCATGTGCTCGTCATTGGGCGTGTATTCCAGTCGGGACACTATAGCGGGGATGGGGGCGACCTTTGCCATGCCCTTCCGTCGTTTGTGAGATTGATAGCCTAGGTTTGAACGGCGGCCATACCGCAGCAAATTAACTTAGTCACGCAGTCTATCAAGTGCCTTCCCACACGGACGATATGAAAATGCTCTTTCTTCCGAGTCGACCGAGACAAGGCACGCTCGTTGCTACTTGTAGTACATCGAATTGTCAGAACCAATTAATTCGGGTCCTACCTGGGGTCGGCGAGAAGCTAGAACGCTAGCCACTCACTGGCGGAGGCTCCCTGCTTCACCTTGTACTGCGCATCCTGGCTTCTGAAACATCCTGACCTTCCTGCTGCACTTCTACCCATTTCCGCTCTACTGACTGCAGAGCCGAGCCGAGTTGCAAGCGAGATGCATCATCACGTCTGGGGCAGTGAGGGAGAGAGGGAAGATGTGGAATGCCAAATTTCGCCAAATTGAGAGAGGTGCGTGGAATTTGAGATTTAGGGCGATTCGGGATCATCGCCATTCACGACGCGACGCGATGTTTGAGTGAAGCCCAACGGCAAGTGGTTGGTCGGTGGAGATGCAATCGCTGTGATGGCAAAAAAATTGCCATTTCGCGTTTATGGGCAAATACAGCTGATTTGACATACCACCAAGTTGGTTAATTTTGACGAGTTGTGAATATAGAATAGAAAATTACTAGTATAATAAATAGTGTAATCAGTTGGTGAGGAGCCAACCCATATTGAAAACAGCAGCACATGGCCTCGAGGCCTGAAAACGTGTGGTAAAGATTCATGGCTCTGCATGAACCACTTGCGTGCCGTGAGCATGAGTGGATTCGTGAAGACCCTCCTCTTGTAATCTCTCCTGATGCTTGGTTGCCCTTCCAGCCTCTGCCACCCCCTTGTTATAGTTGACGAATAATTGGACGGAGATGGCAGGGATGACCAGCACGAGAAAGACGTATCCAAACACCGGCCGGAGCTGACCCCCCACCTGACAAATGGTCAAAAGTGGAACACCAGGGGAACACATAGTTAACACACACGAAGAGCAGACACTCTCCATGACCATACTGTACCTTCAAGTCACTGATTGCAAAAGCTGGTCTATTCCGCATACTCTCCCCAGCAACATCACACATGCATATCATCACCCCTCTGACTGTGCTGTGTCCCCGCACCTCCCAGCATCATCCTTACATCTCAACAAACCCACACCACAATTAACACCAGCCCAGCGGCAACCCAGCAACGGCCCAGCAGAAGCTCAGAAGTAGCCCAGAAGTAGCCCAGAAGCAGCCCAGAAGCAGCCCAGAAGCAGACCAGAAGCGGCAGCCCAGCACGAGCTTAACAAGAGCTCAGCAGTAACCTAGCAGCACTGACCTGTGTAACAGCGGCGATGACGAAGGGGCCGATGCAGGAGCTGATGCGATCGCAGATGAAGAAGAGTGTGAAGAATGCGCCCTCGCGACCCACGGGGATGAAGTCAATGAACAGCGTGCGCGAGTACGACGTCAGCGCGCCCAGGAAGAACCCCAGCCACGCAGCGCACAGGTAAATCTCCCACGCGGATTTCAGCCCGAATCCCCCGTCCGCGGTGAAATACCCGATGAATCCCCACACGGGCAGGGGAACTAGGCACGTGAGGAGAATCACGACCATGGTTTTGTTCGTCGCGTGGGTTTTCCGCTGGAAGAGCAGCGCGAGGGGCATCCCAGCAATCGCCACCACAGCGACGGTGAGCGCGATGATAGCCATGGAGGAAACAGACAGGCAGAGGTCGTTCTGCCCAAACAGCACCGCCATCTGCAGCATCGTGGTGAACCCGCTGCTGTACGCGACGAGGCAGATGAGGAAGATGAACGCGTAGCGGTACCGGGAAGCTTCCTTGAAGAGGCGAAACAGGTGGAGCCAGCGGTTGAGCATGGAGAATCCGGTCTTGGGCATGGGCGGGCCCGGGCGCGGGTGCAGCCACGCGAAGGTGAAGGCTGAGAGGGTGATCCACCAGAGCCCGCACACGGCCACGGTGACTCGGAGTTTTAGGAGGTCGTCTGGGATGAGGAGTGTGATGGCGAGGAGAGCAGCATTGAGAGCACGCTCCCTAGAGTGCCCATTGCCAGGCCTGACAGGGACGCCTTGTTCTCCACCTGATTACGGAAAGGGAGGAGAGGAGGGGGTAAGAAGAGGAGGTATATCAATGAGGGGACTTAGGCATTTGGAAAATCTGGCGAAGAAGCCTGATTGATTTACCAGAGAGGGCCACCAGAGAGGGCGATCCACCAGAGGCTACAGACGGCCACCAGAGGCCACAGACGGCCACGGTGACTCATCTGCTGGGGCCGTCTGGGTGTGATTCCGGTTGGGGTTGTTGGGCGGGTGAGGTTGAGACATGGTTGGGTGTGACACAGGGACGGAAGCAAGCAGCTACCTCACCTTCCCCCTGCCTCCTCACCTTCCCCCTGCCTCCTCACCTTCCCCCTGCCTCCTCACCTTCCCCCTGCCTCCTCACCTTCCCCCTGCCTCCTCACCTTCCCCCTGCCTCCTCACCTTCCCCCTGCCTCCTCACCTCCCCCCTGCCTCCTCACCTTCCCCCTGCCTCCTCACCTCCCCCCTGCCTCCTCACCTCCCCCCTGCCTCCTCACCTCCCCCCTGCCTCCTCACCTTCCCCCTGCCTCCTCACCTTCCCCCTGCCTCCTCACCTTCCCCCTGCCTCCTCACCTCCCCCCTGCCTCCTCACCTTCCCCCTGCCTCCTCACCTCCCCCCTGCCTCCTCACCTCCCCCCTGCCTCCTCACCTCCCCCCTGCCTCCTCACCTTCCCCCTGCCTCCTCACCTTCCCCCTGCCTCTCTCACCTTCTCGCGAACAGCAAGGATGGATGCCTCATCAGGCCCTGCAGCGAGCACCTTTGGGGATGCGTCCACCAGCACAGGCAGGTAACTGCCACAGTGTGGGAGGGGGAAGGGGGAGGGAGAGGAGAGGGGGAGAGAAAGGGGGAAGGGGTGGAGAGAGGGAGGAGTGAGGGTGGTGATGGGGGCAGCAAGGATGGATGCCTCGTCTGGCCCAAGCTGAGAGCACCTTTAGAGAGCACATTTGGGGGTGGGCGGAGGGAGGAACGAGGGAATGATGTGTTACTGGTTGAGTCAGAACACCTCACCCTGCTTCACCTGACCAGTTATAGCCAACGAGCGAGATGCAGTATCCGAGGTTGGCGATGATGGCAAAGAGGTCACGAAGCCACCAGACACGTGGTCACACTTGGTCACACTTGGTCACACGTGGTCACACTTGGTCACACTTGGTCACACTTGGTCACACTTGGTCACACGTGGTCACACTTGGTCACACTTGGTCACACGTGGTCACACTTGGTCACACTTGGTCACACTTGGTCACACTTGGTCACACGTGGTCACACTTGGTCACACTTGGTCACACTTGGTCACACTTGGTCACACTTGGTCACACTTGGTCACACTTGGTCACACTTGGTCACACTTGGTCACACGTGGTCACACTTGGTCACACTTGGTCACACTTGGTCACACTTGGTCACACGTGGTCACACTTGATCACACTTGGTCACACTTGGTCACACTTGGTCACACTTGGTCACACTTGGTCACACTTGGTCACACGTGGTCACACGTGGTCACACTTGGTCACACTTGGTCACACTTGGTCACACGTGGTCACACTTGGTCACACTTGGTCACACTTGGTCACACTTGGTCACACTTGGTCACACGTGGTCACACTTGGTCACACTTGGTCACACGTGGTCACACTTGGTCACACTTGGTCACACTTGGTCACACTTGGTCACACTTGGTCACACTTGGTCACACTTGGTCACACTTGGTCACACTTGGTCACACTTGGTCACACTTGGTCACACTTGGTCACACTTGGTCACACTTGGTCACACTTGGTCACACTTGGTCACACTTGGTCACACTTGGTCACACTTGGTCACACTTGGTCACACTTGGTCACACTTGGTCACACTTGGTCACACTTGGTCACACTTGGTCACACTTGGTCACACGTGGTCACACGTGGTCACACTTGGTCACACTTGGTCACACTTGGTCATACGTGGTCACACTTGGTCACACTTGGTCACACTTGGTCACACTTGGTCACACTTGGTCACACTTGGTCACACGTGGTCACACTTGGTCACACTTGGTCACACGTGGTCACACTTGGTCACACTTGGTCACACGTGGTCACACGTGGTCACACGTGGTCACACTTGGTCACACGTGGTCACACTTGGTCACACTTGGTCACACTTGGTCACACTTGGTCACACTTGGTCACACTTGGTCACACTTGGTCACACTTGGTCACACTTGGTCACACTTGGTCACACGTGGTCACACGTGGTCACACTTGGTCACACTTGGTCACACGTGGTCACACTTGGTCACACTTGGTCACACTTAGTCACACTTGGTCACACTTGGTCACACTTGGTCACACTTGGTCACACTTGGTCACACTTGGTCACACTTGGTCACACGTGGTCACACTTGGTCACACTTGGTCACACGTGGTCACACTTGGTCACACTTGGTCACACTTGGTCACACTTGGTCACACTTGGTCACACTTGGTCACACTTGGTCACACTTGGTCACACTTGGTCACACTTGGTCACACTTGGTCACACTTGGTCACACGTGGTCACACTTGGTCACACTTGGTCACACTTGGTCACACTTGGTCACACTTGGTCACACTTGGTCACACTTGGTCACACTTGGTCACACTTGGTCACACTTGGTCACACTTGGTCACACTTGGTCACGTGGTCACACGTGGTCACACTTGGTCACACTTGGTCACACTTGGTCATACGTGGTCACACTTGGTCACACTTGGTCACACTTGGTCACACTTGGTCACACTTGGTCACACTTGGTCACACGTGGTCACACTTGGTCACACTTGGTCACACGTGGTCACACTTGGTCACACTTGGTCACACTTGGTCACACGTGGTCACACGTGGTCACACGTGGTCACACTTGGTCACACTTGGTCACACTTGGTCACACTTGGTCACACTTGGTCACACTTGGTCACACTTGGTCACACTTGGTCACACTTGGTCACACTTGGTCACACTTGGTCACACGTGGTCACACGTGGTCACACTTGGTCACACTTGGTCACACGTGGTCACACTTGGTCACACTTGGTCACACTTAGTCACACTTGGTCACACTTGGTCACACTTGGTCACACTTGGTCACACTTGGTCACACTTGGTCACACTTGGTCACACTTGGTCACACTTGGTCACACTTGGTCACACTTGGTCACACGTATGGCAAAGAGGTCAGAAAGCCACCAGAGGGGTGTTGAGGCGGCATCTTGCTACGTGCACCTGTAGCGTACCTCGCCGGCTGTAGCGCGCCTAGCGCTCCTCTCACCTGTTATAGCCAACGAGTGAGATGCCGTATCCGAGGTTGGCGATGATGGCAAAGAGCCCTGCCAACCACCAGAGCGACGGTGACGTGAGGGCCAGGCAGAGAATGCACGGCACTGCGCCCATCAGCGTTCCCACTAGCAGCATCTGTGGTGGGGCAGGGAAAGAAAGGACATGCAGGGGAATGGGACAGTGAGGTGAGGATGGGGGCCAGGCGGAGAATGCATGCGACGACGCCCATCAACTTTTCCAACACCTCCCCACCCTTCCCCTTTTTTTCCTTCCCCTTCCTCCCCTCCCCACACTTTCGCCCCCATCCATTTTCCCGTGCTCTCACCCGCCACCTCCCCAGACCAGAGTCAGCCTCGGCGCCGAAGCAAAGAAATCCCGCGAATCCCCCCTCCCCCCCACCACCCCCTTTCCCCGCAATTATCTCACTCACCCGCCACCGCCCCTGTCGAAACCAGCCTCGGCGCCGAGGCACACGAGCGCGACGATTCGCACCACCACGGCCAGCCCTTGATGCACCTTCCTACCCCTTCCCCCACCGCTTTAACCCCCCAGTCCAATTACTCACCCGACTTTGCCCTGTCCGAAATCCGCTTCCGCGCCGAAGCACACGAGGCCGATGATCCGCTCCACCACGGCCAGCCCTTAGCGCACCTCTCCCCCTCCCCCCTCCTCCCTCCTTCCACGCACTCCCTTTACCCCCCGGTTACTCACTCACCCGCCATCGTCCCTGCCCAAAGTCTGCCTCAGCTCCGAAGCACACGAGGCCGATGATCTGCACCACCACGGCCAGCCCGATCACCACCGTCGTGTACGCCACGGGTTCCATGGACAGCGCGCCCGCGTGCAGGTTGGGTGAATCGTACGCCGTGTAGCTGATTGGATGGGGACGAGGAGACGGGGAGAAGTGGGTGGAAATGGGGGAATGTGAGAGCCAGCCCGATCACCACCGTGGTGTGCGCCACGGGCTCCATCGACAGCGCGCCCGCTTGCAGATTCGGTGTGTAGCTGTTACGAGGGAAGGGGTGTGGCAATGGGGAAGACGCGTGACCTAGGGGAAGACCTAGTAAAAAGCGGGCGTGACTCTAAGGAACAAGACGCGTCGAACGACACGTCAGCTAGAAGGCCGCCATATGTCGACTCGGGCCGATAAGGCTTGGTTGACGTTGACTCGACATGACAGCCCCGCGTCGCTTCTTTTACCGTAGCGCGCATTCAGCCCCGCGATGCACCCCCCCCCCCACGAGACCCCGCGAATCTCCGGAAGAGTAAAAATGCATGTCGCTCGTGCTATTCTTTACTCGCCAACGCGCTTCGGGGGAAAGCTAACTTTGCACGCGCGGCACGAGCGTACCCTGTTGACGTCATCAGCTCCTGTCCCTTGCCCGCGACGCATTGCAAGCAGCCCGTCGTGAGCGTCGCATTGCACTGCGGCGGCGGCGGCGCGCCGGCCTGCGTGGCGGCCTGCGCGGTGGCGAGGTAGACGAGGAGCAGCGGGAAGAAGATCGACATGGCGACGAGGGAGAACGCGTTTCCCGCCGCGTTGTAGATAAACCACCCCCACCACTCGCGACGCGTCACCGGGTCTTGCTCCTTCTCCGTCAGAATCGCCGCGCTTGCAGCCGCGACCTCCGGCGGCACATCCGCCGCGAAGCCATGGGCGTTCGGACCGCTTAGCGGCGCTTCCGCGGACGAATCTCGCGTCTGATCGGTCGTCATTACTGGTACTTCGGCTCGACGACTGAAGGGAAGCTACGGCGGCCGAGCGTCGACCGATAGTATGTGCGTTTCGCGAGAGTCTTGAAGAACGAGACGAGACAGTTTAGCACGGCCACAGCGAAGCGTCTACATGCTAGGCTTCAGAGAGGCTGGGATGGAGAGGAAATAACTACGGGAGTGACACTCTGTGCGGCCAACCTGGGAGGATGTTGACGGCTTGCTTGCGCGAGCGGTTGGAATTGCAAGAACGCAAACAGTATAGCGGGGTGTGTGTAGCGCGGATGGTTGAACTTGGTGGTGAGGGGTGGAAAGGGACAGAGTGAGGTGGTTTAGGAGTGACGGTCGGTTGTTGGGTGGGCATGTGTAGCAGGCGGGTTCGGTGGACGTGGGATGAGGAGCACGGGTGTGACAGAGAGCTGCAGCGCTGTGCCAGCTGTGCGGGGTGTGTGTGTGGTAGTACAGTAAACGAAATCTCCTTGCAGCTTACTTCTGCCCTTCGTTCGTCATGTTTCCCCCGCGAAAGGGGTACTTCCAGCTTCCTTCTGCCCTTCATTCGTCATGTTTCCCCCGCGAAAGGGGTTCTTCTACAGTTCTTCGATGGCAGAATGCAGTATCCGGGCAGTAAAAAAGCAAAGGATTGAACCGCGCAACCACACACTTCCCGCTGGAGAGGTTCGCATGATCGCATCGCACGCAACAACGATAGCATTTGGAAGAGATTGGATTTGTGAATCATGGACCTCATGCTTTGCAGAGCTGCCCTGCACGAATGCGGTAAGATAACGAATTTGATTTCTCACCTTTTTACACAGCCTATACCCAGCTGCACAAGTCAGCGGGCTGGACGGAACGAAACACATTGCAGACAGCGAGTCATAGTTCCCGTCACTGTTCCGAGATGGTGGGCTAGTGGTCAATCGTCTGCCTGTCTAAATCAGCACTGAAAATCCAGGTCGCACTGTGGATCTCATGTTCACACCGAAGGGGCGGCTACTGTTTGTCTAGGCATTCCGGTAAGTCAGGCCTGGTAACATATCTCCATACAGTTATGTCTGGTTCCAACACATAAAGCGAGGGAGTTTCAGGGGCCTAGCAATTATTCCACTGATATAAAACTGGGTGCAACAAATTTCCATCCTGAAGGGCATATCACACCAGAACAAACAAAAAAAAGCTACGACTCCTCATACAGTGCCTCTTTTCTTGGTTGCCGCATCAGCATATTTGTCCTTTCTCTTTTTCAAAACACTCCCACCTTCCATCTCTTCCTGTCCCATCTCCCCACCTTCACCACTGAACCCTAACATCGCCATCTCACTCCCCAGGTTCAATTGCTCCACAATGCCTCTCAGCGCCCCCCCAGACTTGCCTCCCTCTCTGCTTCCCACATCACCCCCTCCATGCCGCCCCTCTTCCCCCTCTTCCCCCTCATCACCCCCTCTTCTCTTCTTCCCACTTTTCGTCTTCTTGGTTGCAGCCGAAGCTGTTGCTTCCACAGCCGGTTCCCTCTTCTTCTTACAAGGCTTGGCATCAGGTGTGGAGGAGGAAGGCAGTGCAGCGGGCGCAGGGGCCAATGAGGGGAAGGCAGAGGGGGCAGCAAGCAGGTCTTTGAATTCTCGCAGCAGACCCTCCTTGCGCTGCTGCTGCTTCTGCCATGCCTCTGGGCTCTCCAGGTACCTGGGAGGGGGGGGGGTGGGGCGGGGGCATGGAAGCACGAGCAGAACTTTGAGTCGACTCAAAAGTCCCCTCCTTGCGCTGCTGCTGCTTCTGCCATGCCTCTGGGCTCTCCAGGTATCTGGTGGGTGTGGAGTGGGGAGGAGCGAGCAAGAGAAGGACGTACATAAGGGGAACAGGTGAGGGTGAACTGAACAGCAAGGCGCGCGAGATGCTTACTAGGGTAGACCCTGCCAAGCGTGTGAGTTTGGCACACACACAGAATACGAGGAGGAGGGAGAGGACACGAGAAGAGCAGAGGAAGCAGAGAAGAGCAGAGGAAGCAGAGAAGAGCAGAGGAAGCAGAGAAGAGCAATGACTTACTCTGCGAGGCCCATGTGACGGAAGAGAGGCCGCTGCAGCAGAGAGGACGACGCCGACGAATAGCGCGTCGCCAGCTCAGCGAGGATCATCTGCTTGCCTTCCACCGTCATGGTATCAAATGCTGCCGACACCACAAACGCACCCAGCCTATCTGCTGCTATCGTCGTCAGGCGCGGCTTCAAACTGCGAGGGGCGGGAGGGAGGGAGGCATGTGATGAGGATTGGGAGAGGTGAGGGTGGGGAGATGTTGTGAGACGCACGGCACTGCACACCACTGCAGAGCACCGCACAACACCTCACAGCACCGCACAACACCTCACAGCACTGCACCGCACACACCTATTGAGCAGGGTGGTCTTGAGGTCCAGAGGGACAGTGGCAGCACGGAAGAATGCAGAGAGCACGCGCGTGCCCTTGACATCCGTGGCCAGATGCATGAGGTAGGAGGGGGGGTGAGAGGGCGCACAGGCAGCACAGCACAGCCCAGCACCTCACCTCACAGCACTGCACCGCACACACCTATTGAGCAGGGTGGTCTTGAGGTCCAGAGGGACAGTGGCAGCACGGAAGAATGCAGAGAGCACGCGCGTGCCCTTGACATCCGTGGCCAGATGCATGAGGTAGGAGGGGGGGGGAGCGGGTGGGGAGACAGCACCGCGAAGCCCATCACCTCACCTCACAGCACCGCATTGCAGAGTGCATATGGTACCTGGTGAGCATGGTGGTTTTGAGGTCCAACGGAACAGCAGCCGCACGGAAGAAAGCGGAGAGCACGCGGGTGCCCTTGACGTCTGTGGCCAGGTGCATGAGGTAGGAGGGGGGCAGCGCCACACACGCCTGCACCACCCTCTGCGACGCCGCCTGCCAGTGGGAGAGGAGGGGCATGATGGGAGGGGAGGGGTGTGGTGGGAGGGGTAGCATGGAACAGGTGAGATGGCCTACATGGGAGCTTCGTTAGAGCAGCCTGCAGAGCAGAGACGGACGAGATGAGGGTCCTGTGGTACAAACGGCTTGCTCCTTGCTGCTCTTTCCCTGCCACTTGCTTGTCCCTGATTCACAAGTGCCAGCCACTTGCTTGTCCCTGATTCACAAGTGCCAGCCACTTGCTGCACCACTGAGGACTCACCAGAGGGAACGAGAAGATAGTCTGCACTGCAGCGCCATGCACCCCACGAATGAGACCGCCCCGCGCTCTGTCACGGGCACGGAACCCCACCCCTGCTGCTGCTTAAGTCTTGCGAATGCTGTTTGCAGCAGCACTAAGACTCACCAGGGGAAATGAGAAGATGGTCTGAAGAGCCATGCACCCCACAAACGATACCGCCCCTCGCTCTGCCACGGGCACGGAACCCCACCCCTGCTGCTGCTGCCGCTTCTTGGCTCGGCTGGAGCAGCAATAGAGGAGAGGGCGACATGAGCAGGGAGGGACGCAAGCACACGTACCAGAGGGAAGGAGAAGATGGTCTGCAGCGCCATGCACCCCACGAACGACACCGCCCCTCGCTCTGCCACGGGCACGGACCCCCATCCTTGTTGCTGCTGCCGCTTCTTGGCTCGGTTGGAGCGCATGTCGTTGACCCTCACTGCCAGCCACGCGTCCAGCCACAGTAGATCGCCCACCGCTGCCGCATCTGCTGCTGCTGCCGCATCCACTGGTGATGGTGCTGGTGAGGAGGAGATGGCTGCTAGCAGGCTGTCACAGGCCTGCCGAGGGAAGTTATGCGTTTGAAGGGAATTGGTCAAAGAGTATGGAAACCAGGGTTCTGATGCAGTCAGGACAAGCAGTAAAATGGATTAGGTCGGCGGATTGCAGACCGGTGAGTGGCCTGGTGTTTCGTTTCCCCACTCCCGCATGCACCCTCTCGCTTCAGTCACACCACGCCATAATCACAACTCACTCACCCGTGCCTGAAACGTCTTGGTGCGTCCACACGCAATCAGCAGCGCCAGCACCACTCGCCCCCTCCCCCCTTTCAGCAGCGCCAACAACCCCTCCCCTCTCCCTCCCCCCTCCCCCCCGTCTCCACCCCCCGCCTCCCCTCCCCCTGCCCCACTCCCCGTGCTCCCCCCTTCCCCCTGCCCTCCCCCTGCCAGCGCCTTGAAGGCGCGTTTGACGTCGGTGGGGGAGTGGAGGGCGGAGAGGGCGGTCTGCACTGTGTAGTTGGCAATGGGGTGCAGCGCGAGGGGCAGCAGGTGGGGCAGCAAGGCCACTCGCAGGAGAGAGGAGCGCAGAGAAGGTGGGGCGAGTTGAATTACGGTCTGGGGAGGAAGTGGGGAGGGGGGGTTGGGGGGGGGGGGAGGAAAGGAGATGGGGAAGGGGTCAACGTGGGATGGGATGGGGAAAGATGGGGGTAAGTCAAGGGGAGGGGAAGCGGTGGGTTGTCAGAGCAGCATGCGGAGGTGGAGTGACGGTCGAACCAAGGGCATCACAGCAGGGGAAGGATGGTAAGATGCTTCCGAACGCATCAGACAACCCCGTCTCACCTCCATGAATCGCGACCCACAGCGGTCCTTCATGAGCTCAAGAATCTGCCCCACCTCCTCCTCCACCTGCTGATCTGTCTCCTCCCCTTCCTCGCCTCCCTCTGCTCCCCCTCTCCCTTCCTCCTCATCTCCTTCCTCTCCCCCCTCCCCTCTCTCCTCCTGTTCTCTTCTGCTTCTTTTCTTCCCACTCCCTCCCTCTTGCCTGCCCGGCCCTGCCCGTTTCCTTTTTTTCGCTGCTGCCCGGAGCGCGGCCTCGGGCAGGTGGAGCAGAGAGGTGATGACATGGGTGAGCAGAGCCGCATCATCACGAATCACATCCAACACCACCTGCATAGGCGGGGAGGGGCCGGAGGGCGACAAGGGGAGGAATGCAGCTGATCAGTGTAAGGGTGTGCAGGGAGGGCTGTATTGTAAGGTGTGCAGCGTGGTGAATGCGTCTCAGCATCGTCGCGAATCACATCCAACACCACCTGCACGCGTAGGGTGCACAAATTCGCACAGGGCGTCAAGGGGAGGGAATGCATGCAGGTGAGACTGACACGAGAGGAAGGCGCACAGGGTGTATTGTAAGATGTGCAGCGCTGTGAATGCGCCTCTCAGCACGGGCAGCAATACCATCACCACACCACTCACCAGCAACACCAGCAGCAAATGAGTGCCTCACCTGCAGCAGAGGGCCAGCAGAGGGGTCACAGGCGAGGGTCCACGAGTCCGCATAGGGCGACCACGCCACTGCTGCTGACGCACTGCCGGCACTACAAGCAGACCAAAACCATCACACTCACCTGCAGCAAAGGACCGGCAGAGGGGTCACAGGCTAGAGTCCACGAGTCACCATACGGTGACCACGCCACTGCTGCTGACGGCACCGCCTCATCCGCCCCCGCCGCTGCCGCCGTCACCCCCACCACCACCTTTCGTAGCAACGCTGGGAACCCCAACGCCGCCCCCACCCTCCTCCCTCGCTCCGCCGCTGCCGCTGCTTCTGCCCCCCCTGCTGCTGCTCCCGCATCCTTCCCTCCTGCAAAACCTGCACCCTGCCCGGCCATTCAGGGCAGCCCCGGAAAGGTCGCTCCGGAAGACTGGGGAAAAATTCCAGCTGCCCGCTGGATCTGCGGAGGCAAACGCCCGCCGAACCTTCTCCCTGCGCCACCCTCTCTCCCCTCCTCCCCCCGCTCCTCCCCGCCCTGCTCCCTCTTCTCCTCCGCACCCACGCCCTCCGCACCGTCCCGCCGGGCCTTCCTCGTGCCCTCTGCTGCTGCGGGCGTGTCGTGGATGGGACGGCAGGCGAGGAGGAGAAGCAGGGAGCGCAGCACGTGGGAGCAAGCCGGGCTCGTCATGGCTGCTAAAGGGTACTCCGTCACCTCTTTGCAGATCTTTTTCAAAACCACCCTCACCGTTCCGGTCCACTTCGGTAAATCACCCTGACCGCCCGTCCCCCCCTCGTTTTCCTCCTCCTCCTCCCCCTCCCTATCCTGCTCCTCGTTCTCGTCGTCTCCTGCCCCGGTTTCGTCTAGTCCCGCGCTGCCACGTGTCCTGCTCTCTCCCGTCACCCACGCGCGGATATTTCGCAGACCCGCTTCAATCACCCTCGATGCAAGCCCATGCGCCAACACATCCCGACAAACATTCACCTCCCGCTCCCCCGACCCCTCCCCCCCTCCCCCCGCGCCTTCCCCCCCTTCCCGTACCCTCTTGCCCGCGCAGCAGCAGGCACCGGCGAGGAAGCGCGCGGCGGCGGCGGGGGGGGCGGCTTTGAGGAGCGGCTCGAGAGTGCGGCAGGTCTGGGTGTCCCACAGAAGCTGGTGCTCCTTCCCCCGAGCCTCCTCCAGAGCATTGGCAGCGATGGAGGCTCGGTCTGAGGTACGGGGGAGGTCCGGGGGTGGGGCAAGGCAGGGAGGGGAGAGGTCGATGGGACGTCGAAGTTTACGCGGAATGGAGGGGGGCGTTAGCGGAGAGAGTGAGAGTGGTGCGCGAAAGGGGAGAGACGGGGTTTAAGACAGAAGGGCAGAGGGTAGAACGGCGGGTTCAGGGGAGCGAGGAGCGCACCGTGTGGGTCCGGGGTGTCTTCCCACGCGGTGGCAATTTCCGTGAAGTATTGCGAGAGAGAGGGGTCCAGCACGCGTCTGGAGGTAAGGGGCGGGAGAGGGGGACGCGGAGAGTGGGGGGTCGGGGGAGAGGGAGGCGCGATTAGAGCAGGCACGTGGAGCTGGACGGATGTAGCGGGATGGGCACTGAGTGTAACGGTCGGATGCGCAACGGCGGGATGAGCAACGGTCGGATGTGTGTACGGCGTAAAGGCGTGTTGCTCCGCTGTAGAGCTGCGCTCCGCGCCGCCCCCACCCGCTCCGCCGCCTGCGCCTCCGCCATACCCGCGCCCGCCTTTCCCTCCGCCACCTCCCCTTCCCCTTCCGCGCATTCCGCCGCCTCCCTGCCACCCCATCGGCGCGCAGCGAACACTACGGTCTAACCCCGAAAGGAGTTCAAAGGTCACCACGGCTTTGCGTTGACGAGATAATTTTATGGAGCAATCTTGAATTCTAGAGACTACTGAATTTTAAGAGACTACGGTTCTGTGAAAGGAGAAGCACTCATATATATCACTGACAAAACCTAAAATCTTAAACCCGCCAAAACCCGAATTATCAATGTGAGTCGAAGCACAGCGACAGGGGAGGTCTGTCCGCGTTACGGTGCTTCGCTAAACGAAATTCCGGAAGGTTTTGCTGTTATTAGTATAACGTTTCAAGAACTTCACATTTCAACTACACTGCTGTCACATCACTCTCGTCATTCCCATCCCACCCATCCTGCTGGTCCGCACATTTCACGACAGCCATCGCTCCTCGAATCGCGCACCTCCACCTCCTCGCGTCACATCAACAACACTCCCCTCTCGCCCTCCCTCAGGCGTCTACCAACGCGAGCACGCGCCGTTCCGTTCCGCACGACTGCCGAATAGCTCATTTTGGCCCACCGCTCGCCGAGCGGCCGGAGCGACTCGTGGTTTCTCAGGTGATTGGCTACCGGTATTAGCGTTAATAGCGGTATTAGCTTTTTTTTTCACTTATCTCCTCGGCATTGCCGCGCAGAGCTTGCTTCGAGGCGTCTCGAGACTCGATTGCCCGATTACAACTCATTCCGCTCGTCGCCTCCATATCGCCGACGCGTGGCGGAACGATCGTAGTCCGCCGCGCGGTGCTCCCCTGCGCGCGGCTCCCCTACGCGCGGAGTTTCTCTACGTGACGGGACGGGGAGAGGGGTTTACGGGGAAACGGGCATCGGGGGATGGAAAAGGATGGTTCCGCGGGGAAACCTGAGTTTCACGTGGCAGGGGCGCGGGGGCAATTAGGCGCAGGCGCAACCGCGGGGACAGGGGGACAGGAAGGGGCGCGGGGATCACACTCGGGGGCTTGGGCGGGGCAACCGGGGGAGTGGGCGGGGGAGGCGGGGGCGGGGTGGGACGGGGACTGGCTGGGGGAGGCACGGAGGCGCGCGGGGCCGTGGGAGGGGCGGCCATTGGCGGTGGTGAGTCTGTTCGACGGGTGCGGCGCCATCTGGCAGGCGCTGCACGACTGCGGCATTCCCTTCACGGGCGTCAGCTCTGAAATCGTGAGTGCAGAGACGCTGGGCGCCTTTCTGGGCGCCTTGCTAAGTGTGCTGCACGCTGGGTGTGCTGCACGCTGGGTGTGCTGCACGATGGGTGTACAGTTCCTAGTCGCTCTGAAACGGCAGGCGCTGCAACGCACGACCGTGGCGTTACCTTGAGCGGCGTCAGCTCTGAAATCGTGAGTGCCGTGTTGCATTGCCATCAGCGGAGGTGGTGGGGCACAGACGACCGAGATGACTTTGAGTCGACTCAAAAGTCTCTCTGCCCTCTTCTCCCCTCACTCACCCTTCCCACCACCACCACCACCACCACCACCACCACCACCACCACCACCACCACCACCACCACCACCACCACCACCACCACCACCACCACCACCACCACCACCACCTCTGCTCTCTCCCTCTCCCTCCTCTCCCTCTCCCTCCACAGGACCCATTCGCAGTGGAGGTGGTGCGGCACAGGTGGCCGGCCGTGCAGCACGTGGGGGATATCACCTCCCTCACACCGTCTACTATCCACGCCGCCCTTGCTGCCGCTGCTGCTGCTAATGCTGCCACTGCTGCTGCTGCTGCTGCTGCTGCTGCCACCAAGGATCCACGACCGAGAAAGTGCAAGGAAGCTTCACCGGATGTTGTCGCTGGTGTTCAGGTGGACCTGCTAGTGGGCGGCTTTCCTTGTCAGGACCTGAGCAGCATGAACAGGAACAGGGTGGGGTGAGTGGCTGGCAGTAGCAGGAGCACACAGCAGAAACGTTCCATGATCCATCACACACACACACGCACACAGCCGTTCCCTCTTCAATCCCTTCGCTGCACCGCCCTCATTCTTTCCATCACACACACCCACCCCTGTCATGCCATGCGCCCTCCCTCTTGCATGCACAGCCGGCACATGCCATGCCACTCCTTGTTCCCCTCTCCTGCATAACCCTCTCCTTCCCGCTCTCCCATCCTCCCCTGCCCTTTCCCTCCCTCGCCCTCCCTTCCCTGACCTTTCGTCTCCCTGCCTCTCTTTCCCTGCCCTCTCACCCGTTCACCACAAATGGTTCCTCTCCCCTGCCTTCCCCTGCACCTTCTCCCCTCTTCCCTGCCCCGCATGTGCGTCCCTGCCCCGCATGTGCGTCCCTGCCCCGCATGTGCGTCCCTGCCCCGCATGTGCGTCCCTGCCCCGCATGTGCGTCCCTGCCCCGCATGTGCGTCCCTGCCCCGCATGTGCGTCCCTGCCCTCTCACCTGTTCAACCCCCCACCATGTATCTCCCCTCCCAGCCTGCACGGCCCGCGCAGTGGACTCTTCTTCCACCTGCTGCGCCTCATCCAGCAGCTCTCGCCCAGATGGTAAACTCCTGCACCTTCTTTAGCGACTTTTGAGTCGACTCAAAAGTCACCTTCTTCCACCTGCTGCGCCTCATCCAGCAGCTCTCGCCCAGATGGTAAGTAAGTAAACCTGCTTGCGCGTCTTCTTCTCATTGGATGGAAAGTAAGCCTCTATTCAGACGGTGACCTTTAGAATAACGATCTATAAGATATTTCTTCGAATCATTAGCGTTGTGCTTTGATTTCAGCGTATGCACCTCGTCTGCCTACTGCAACGCATTCCCCTGTCCACCAATCAGGTTTGTAGTGGAGAACGTGGCGAGCACGCAGTGGATGGATGGATTGCTTGAGAGGGGAGCTCTTCCCTTCTTGACCTCTCCCTCCCTTCCCCCCACGCACGCCTGCCCCCTACTTATCAGGTTTCTGGTGGAGAGCGTGGCGAGCATGCAGTGGATGGATTGATGGATGGCTCACAAGAAGCTCTGACCCGCTCTGCTCTCCTCGCCCACACCCACACCCACCTCCCTTCACACCCCTCCTCCTGCAGGTTTCTGGTGGAGAACGTGGCGAGCATGCAGTGGATGGATCGCGATGAGATCTCCAAGTATCTGGGAGTGCCGCCCATCTGCATCGACTGCGCCGACCTCACGGCGCAGGCGCGGCGGCGGCTGTTTTGGACCAACCTGCCGCTGCCAGCTCAGATGCCGCCCGTGCGCTGCCACCCGTCCACGCTGCTGCAGAGCAAGCTGTGTGATGCCATCGCCACGGAAGACAAGTGCGGGGTGGGTAAGGGGGAAGAGGGAAGGGGACGGGTGAACTGGATATGGGGTTGTAGAGGTGGTATGCACTGTTGTCATTTTCTCCGCCCCTCCAGCCCATCATGAAAACCAACTTTCACTCGGCCGGCAAGGCCCGCACCAACCAAGCCATCTGCCTCCCCTCGCACTCCCTCTGCTCCTCCTCATCAATCACTCCGTTTCCCCCTTTCAGTCCCCTCCCATCCCTTTACCCCAGCCCATCATGAAGACCAATTACTGCGTGGCCGGCAAGGGGCGCACCAATCAGGTCATCTGCCTGCGCTCCCACTCCCTCTGCTTCCCCCACACGTGCACCCCTCGATATAAATCTCCTGCCCTTTCTTACCCTCTGCCTCATCCTTCTTTCTCCCCCAGCCCATCATGAAGACCAATTACCGCACGGCCGGCAAGGGCCGCACCAATCAGGTCATCTGCCTGCGATCCCATGCCGCCCGCTTCTTCCTCTCCCACGAGATCGAGAGAATCTTTGGATTCCCGCCCGGATACACCAAGATCCCCGCCGCCCGGTTCGCTGCTATCAAGGCGGGGAGGAGAGGGTGGGGCGGAGGGAAAGCAGGGACAGGGAAGGGGCGAGAAATCGGTACGGGGAATTGGAAGCCTGTTGGGGCTGATTGCTGGAGAGGGGAGGAAGGGGAGGAGGAGAGTGAAGACGTGAGGGAGGTGAAGATTGAAGAAGGGGTGAGAACTGGTGGAGGAGTGAAGAGCAAAGAAGGGGTGAAGATCAAGAGAGGAGTGAAGAGTGAAGGAGTGAGGACGGAGAGGGGAGTGAAGAGTGAAGGAGTGAGGAGGGAGAGAGGAGTGAAGAGTGAAGGAGGAGTGAGGAGCGAGGGAGAGGTGAAGGATCTCGATGCAGCAGCTGCTAGTAACCCCTCCGTTCCAGCTTTCTCCCCTGTGCGAGTTCTGGGCAGGGCAGTGTTTGATGGGGTGAGGGAGGTGAGGGAGGTGAGAGAGGAGGAGGGAGAGGAATCGGAGGTGAGGGAGGTGAGGGAAATGGGGGAGGTGAGGGGGATGAAGGAGGTTAAGGAAGGGGAGGAGGTGAGGGGGGTGAGGGAGGTAAGTTCATGCCTTGCCGGGGGAGATGAAGGAGGAACAGGAGGTGCTGAGGGGTTTGGTGTGGTGGGAAGAGATGGTGGGAAGTGGGTGTTGGGCGTTGCGGCAAAGGTGCGTGGCGGAAAGGGAAGAGGTAAGGGCGGAGAGGCTGGAAGGAGGGTGGTGGGGAAGAGGAATGGAGGGGCAGAATGTGAGGAGGAGAGAGGTGGAGGGAAGAGGAGGAGGGTGCAAGGGAGTGAGGGTCAGCATGATGCGGTGACAAGCGGTGACCATGCAGATGCTGATGGTGATCAAGTGGAGAGCGGTGGCATTGGGTTGTTGAAGGGTGATAATGCGGTGGAGAACAGTCACGCTACGGATGGTGATGATAGTGATGATGACGATGATGTGGTTGAGGTGGTAGCATCGGTATTAGGGGACGACGGAGGGGAGAAGGATGAAGACCAGAAGGGAGGCGAGAAGAAGGGCCGAAAGGACGAGGAGGGGGATGGGTCAGGCGAACACTCTCCTCCCGCTGCTGCTGATGTTGCGTCTGCTGCTGCTGCACCTGCTGCTGCTGGCGGCAGCACTGGGAGGTCGTTGCGAGCGCGGCCAAGGATTGGATTCTACAGCGAGGCAGAGCTCATGTGCGTGGGTGGGAAATGGTGTGAGTGGGAGGTGATGTGGTGGGAGGGCGGGGTGAAGGTGTGAGTGATAGCTCTGGGTGAAACTCGTCACGATCGCGACCAGGGGTTGGATTGTACAGCGGGGCAGAGCTCATGTGCGTGGGAGATGGTGTGCGTGGGAGATGGTGTGCGTGGGAGATGGTGCGCGTGGGAGATGGTGCGCGTGGGAGGTGGGAGAGGTGTGATGTTGGGTAATATAGGTGTTGCGGAAAGTGTGGGCCAAGTGTGATGTGAGGTGGTTACTTAGCAAGTTCGCACTATTCATGGGCATGTGCAGCGAAGGTAGTAACACAAGTCAACCTCACTCTTCATCGCGCAGCTTGTCATCAATCGTCTCCTCTCCTCTCCTCTCCTCACCCCCAACTATTACCACCACACCAGGAGGAGGGGCGTGCAGCAGTGCGCCCCGGAGACGAGGCGCAGGCGGAGTGGGGGTGGTGAGAGAGCGGGTAGGAGGGCGGATGGGTTGAGTAGTAGGGAGGAGGAGGAGACGAGTGGAGGGGGTGAGAGTAAGCAGGATGAGCTGCAGGAGAGGGACCGGTGGGGCCTGCTGGGTAACTCATTCCCAGTTGAGTGTCCCTGCCTGCCTGCCTGCCTGCCTGCCTGCCTCTCTCCTGCCTGTATGCTTTCCACTCGCCCTTCTGGGGCTTCTCCTGCTTGTTGAACCTTTCCCTCCCCTGCTATCCTTCCACTAAGAAGAATCCCACCCACCCTCAACAAACTAGTTCTTCCCCCTTGCACTGTTCATCCTCAAACCCCTTCCCCATCCCCCCTCCTTTTCCCCTGTCCTCTTTCCCCGGTAGGTGGCAGTGATATCGTACCTGCTCACGCCGCTGCTCTCCCCCTCGCTGCGCCTCTCCGCTCCCCCCTGTGCACTGCCTGCCTGTGTGCCTCCCCACGTCACCCGCGCCAAGTGCGCTCTCATGGTACCAGGGGAGGTGAGCAGACGTCAAGGGTAAAGGTGTGTGGTAGTAGGGCAGTGGGTGTGTGCATGCATGGAGGTGAAAGGGACCTGAGTGGTGAGACTCTCTTCTCTCTCACCTGCACCTCCCCGCTTGCTCCATCCGCCCACCCATCCCCATCCTTCCCCGTCCCACAACGCCATCCCCACCCCTTACCACCCCCGTCCGATCGCACGGTGCGATTCCCATCCCTTTCCACCCCTCCTCACCCCACCCCGCCGTGCCATGCAGGTGTGGGCAGCATACAGCTGGTCCAAGCTGCCCAACTGGTACGCGCTGATCCTCTCCGTTGAGGGCGGCAGATTCGATACTGAGTCGGCTCCGCTTCGCAAGCCGGCTCCTCTCTGCATCACGTAGTAAGCCTTTACTATCAGAGACCTAGTAAACTCTGCTTCCCTGTAGTTGCCACTCGCAAGGCCTGTATAACCGCACCTGCCAGCTGCTTGTTTGTTGCTAGTTGCCTCTACTTCCTCACGTCGTATTCGCACTCGCACTTTCATCTCTCCACACTTCAATATTATCTCCTTTCCACCCTCCCACATGCCTTCTCCTCCACACAGTCGGTACTTCTATCTCGTAGATGCTCACTCAAACCCCACAAACCCTGTAGGCACACCCACCCCAGGCACCAAGCCTGCTGCTGTGCCAGCCTCCGCACTCACCCTTCCATCTCACCACGCTCCCTCCCACATGCCCCCTCCTCCATACAGTCGGTACTTCTATCTCGTAGATGCTCACTCAACCGGGCATCCTGCAGGGAAGAGGGAAGAGAGGGAGGAGAGCGAGAGTGCTGACGAGGAGGAAGAGGAAGAGGAGGATGAGGATGAGGATGAGGGGGAGGAGTACAAGGGCGCGGAGGAGGACGAGCACACGTGGCATGGAGCAGGGTTGTATGAGATGGAGCAGGAGACGCACACCGCCACCAGCCTCACTGTCTTCAGCCACAGGTGATGTCTCTCTGCTCAGGTGTTCTCGCTTTCCCCAGCAGCATCTCGTTTGAGGTGCCTCCAACCAAGCGGCTGTATGAGATGGAGCAGGAGACACACACGGCCTCACCGCCTTCAGCCACAGCTGGCGTCTCTCTGCTCTCAGACCATCTCATCACATCACCCCCATCACCCCCATCACATCACATCACCCCCATCACCCCCATCACATCACATCACCCCCATCACCCCCATCACATCACATCACCCCCATCACCCCCATCACCCCCATCACATCACATCACCCCCATCACCCCCATCACATCACATCACCCCCATCACCCCCATCACCCCCATCACATCACATCACCCCCATCACCCCCATCACATCACATCACCCCCATCACCCCCATCACCCCCATCACATCACATCACCCCCATCAACCACATCATCCCCATCACATCACATCACCCCCATCACCCCCATCACCCCCATCACCCCCATCACCCCCATCACCCCCATCACCCCCATCACATCACATCACCCCCATCACCCCCATCACATCATATCAACCCCATCTCGCCCATCAGGGTGCTGAGGGTGCGCAGGGTAGCGGGCGGCCCGGGCAGGAGTGTTTTCGCGGTGTATCCCCAGCCAGGCACCGCCTTGGGGCGCTCAAATGGCCCTTCAAACGCCACTCTCATCCCCATCATGCCCATCATTCCCATCACCCCCATCAGGGTGCGGAGAGTGCGCAGGGTGGCAGGAGGACCAGGCAGCAATGTGCACGCGGTGTATCCGCAGCCAGGCTCCGTGTGGGCGCTCAAGTGGCCCTTCAAACGCGACTTCTCCCTCGTTGTCAGTGCTGCTGCTGCACCGCACTGCACTGTATTCCAATGCACAGCACTGTTTCATTCTTCCATTATGCCCTGTCCTGTGCAGCTGTTATTTTTTTTCTGCAAGCACATGACTGCTCCTTGTGCATGCTAATGTGCCACTGCACATAGGTTCTGTGGTCTCTCTCTCATGCCCCTAAACCCTCTCCATCACCTCTTTTCTTCCTTGCCTGTTTTCTGTCTCCCCTCACTCCCTCTCTCCCACCCCCTCCTGCTCCATACACCTGCATGCACACAGTACGTGGTAGCCAGCAGCATCGAGTTCAACCCTCCCAGCCTCTCCTCTCCATCGCCCTCCTCCCACCCCTCCCCCGCCACATCCTCCACTCTCCAACCCTCCCCCACCTCCCCCATCCGAGCCTCTCCCACCTCCCCCACCACATTCCGAGCCTCCATCCGAGCCTTCAGTGCGACGGTGCGGGCGCTGGTGCGGCGGCGCAGTGTGAAGATGGGGGTGGGCATGGATCCGCTGTGGGGCGTGCACGAGCACGAGTGGCAGGTGCACGACCTCTCTGCGTTCGCCTTTGAGGCGCCCTTCCACTTCCACAGCGACCGACGCACCCTCGTGGTGGAGCCACAGACCCACAAGGAGCCCGAGTAATGGTGGTGACTGCGTTCTCAGGGGGCTTCAAATGGGTGTGGAAGCGCTGGGGCGGGCATGGATCTGCTGTGCACGAGCACGAGTGGCAGGTGCACGACCTCTCTGCCTTCGCCTTTGAGGCGCCCTTCCACTTCCACGGCGACCGCCGCACCCTTGTGGTCGAGTAATGGTGCTGGTGACTGCTTTGTCCAGGGCCTTGGCAGGTTCCCTCGTCAGGTGCCTCATCAGGTGCCTCGTCGGGTGCCTCGTCAGGTACCTTGTGGAAGGGAGAACAAGGAGGAGTGGAAGAGGGACAAGGAGCAAGGGTAACTAACCACAGTATCACCATTTTAGTATCAACATTACTAACAGGCTCGCTAGCTGAATTATTGTATGATGAAATATTATAATAGTGAAGTTTTTTTCTAATCATTGAGCCCCGAGAGGGGAGTGGTGGAGTGACGAGCTCCATCACACCAGAGATGTAGTGTGACTGATGCACCTTCAGCCACCTCCTCTCAACATCTCTCTCAATCTGCAGGTGGTACTGAGCATTTTCCAGCATCTTGCACTTGAAGTTGTCCCTCGGCAACTTCTGTGTCCTCTCAATCTGCTCAATGGAAGGTGAGAACAGCAGAATCTCGTCGACTCTTTAAGCAGGAACAAGCTGTGATCCGTTTGTGACATCTCGAATCCTCCATCCAACAGAACATTCTCCAGCTTCTCGTACCAGCACCCGGGCGCTTCTTAAGGCCCTAGATAGCCTTCTTGAGCTTGCACACCCGGCTAGTCCTATCCTCATAGCGGTAGGGTTGCGCCATGTAGATATCCTCCAGCAGTATTCCATTGAGAAACACAGTGGCGATATCCATCTGCTTCACGTGCCATCCCTTCACAGCTGCGACAGCCGGCAAGGTCCTCAATGTCACTGGTTTAGCAATATGAGCGAAGGTCTCCTTGAAGTCGACCTTCTCTTTCTGTTGAAACCCCTTTGGCGACCAAACGGCTCTTGAACCGCTCCAACTCACCATCAGCTCCAAACTTTCTATCGCGGGTGCCCGTCACCACTCGATCTCGCTTCACTCTCAAGCAATTGCCAGCATAATTGCTGGTCCGTGAACTCACATATGACATATTTACTTTAGATAAAGACGCTCATCTCGGGCGTTTGTAGCCACAAGACGCAAAAATATCCGCACCGGTACAGAAAATGAAGTAGGCAATTTTCAGTCGCGGGTACCCATGACCAATCTTTCTCATTTCACTCGTGAGCAATCACCAGTATTGTTTCAAGTCCACGAAATCACACATGACATTTTTACATTAGTTAAAACCGCTGGCGTTTGTAGTCCCGAGACGTGAAAACTTCTGCACAGGTACAGAACATGAAGCAGGTAGTTTTCTGTCGCGGGTGCCCGTCACCAATCGATCTCGCTTCACTCTCAAGCAATTGCCAGCATAATTGCTGGTCCGTGAACTCACATATGACATATTTACTTTAGATAAAGACGCTCATCTCGGGCGTTTGTAGCCACAAGACGTAAAAATATCCGCACCGGTACAGAAAATGAAGTAGGCAATGTCCAGTTGCGGGTACCCATAACCAATCTTTCTCGTTTCACTCGTGAGCAATCTTTACATTATTGCAGGTCCATGAACTCACAAATGACACTGTTACATTAGATAAAAACACTCATTTCGGGCGTTTGTAGCCCCGAGACGTGAAAACGTCCGCACAGGTACATAACATGAAACAGATAGTTTTCTGTCGTGGGTACCCGTCACCAATCGATATCGTTTCACTCTTAAGTGTAACAAAGTAGGAAACGAGAATGACTAGAAACAAGACAGTACAGGGTTTGTATGGGCAATAACAGGACTGTACTCCATAAGGAGTGCCCCACTACAGCCTACAATATAGTTCTGACGCACCCCCATAGGCAAAGTGGGGGACAAGCAAGAGAACAAAGCAAGGTCAAGCTCAGGGTGGATCACAACGTCACCACGCAGTCCGAGCACAAGCAAATGGCCACAAGGCCTGTCCACATGCAGAGATATAAAACAGAGCAAACAGTACAATGATCACAACCTAGCAAGTGTAAGCATGCAAGTGCAGGTATATATAGATCACAGTACAAGCAAAGTCAAGAGGTAAGCAAGTGAGGCCAGGTAGGCACAAGACCTAACATAGTACAGAACCGCTGATGATCACAAGGCTGAAGTGCCTTGGTAAAGATATCAGCAGTGTTGGCCCGAGAGGCCACGTAAGCAAGGCGCAGCTGACCACGCTGCTGCAGCTCACGTGCAAGGAAGTAGCGAAGAGCAATGTGCTTCGTTCTGTGCTCCAGTCTGTGCTCCTGACACAAGGCCAGCATGGCCTTGTTGTCTACGTACAGAACTGGAGGAGAACGAGGCGGCTCTCCCAGGTCGGTCAGCAGGTAGGTGAGCCAGCGTAACTCCTGTGCAGCCATGGCCCCTGCGTAGATCTCGGCCTCACAACTGGAGCTGAGAACAGAAGACGAGTGGGTAGACCGCCACGAAACAGAGCCGGAACCAAGGCTGAAGGTGTAACCCTGTGACGACCGCTGCGTAGCCAAGTCGTCAACCCAAGAAGCGTCTGCGTGACCAGTGAGGACAACTCGAGCCCGTCTTCCAAGCACGAGCCCCATGCCCGACGTACTGCACAAGTAGCGCAACACCCTCTTAGCTGCATCCATGTGCTCTGGTCGGTGTCTCCCAGGAGCAACATAGCGTGCCAGGATGCTAAGAGGGTATGCCAGGTCAGGTCGAGTGCAGGTCATCAGGTACATGAGGCAGCCCATAAGCTCTGGGTACGGGCCACTCGGCTCTACGGACTCATCCGAAGGCAGAGCTGAGAGTGAGTGGCGAGTAGACAGAGGAGTGGGCTGGGGCGAGGAGTACGTGAAGTTGAAGCGCTGAAGGACCTGCTGCACCATGTGTGACTGAGTCAAGGTAATGGTGCGCCGTGCTCTGTCCCGGGTGATCTGCAATCCAAGATAGCTGCGCAGTTCACCCAGGTCTGTGCACGTGTGCCTCTTCTGCAGCTCCGACTTCACATGGGCCAGTCCAGCTGTGTCAGCAGTAGCAAAGACCAAGTCGTCGACGTACACGAGGAAAATGTAACAAAAGTACACAAGACGCAAAAATATCAGCACCGGTACAGAAAATGAAATAGGCAATTTCCAGTCGCGGGTACCCATGACCAATCTTTCTCGTTTCACTCGTGAGCAATCTTCAGCATTATTGCAGATCCATGAACTCACAAATGACACTCTTACATTAGATAAAAAAACGCTCATTTCGGTCGTTTGTAGCCCCGAGACGTGAAAACGTCCGCACAGGTACATAGCATGAAGCATATAGTTTCCTGTCGCGGGTAACCATCACCATTCGATCTCGCTTCACTCTCAAGCAATTGCCAGCATAATTGCTGGTCCGTAAACTAAAATATGACATATTTACTTTGTCAGAATGTGATAATTGTCTAGCCTGAAGTGGGGTACTCTATAGCGAGTACAGCCCAATTTAGGGTTTCCTATATGTATCCTGCTGCTGCTAGTCCAAACTTCTCTTTCGTGTTCTATCTTTCTACCTGCTATCTCTGACATGCTATCAGAGCGAGTACACTCTTGGCCTGTGGGCCCACCTGCTTCCGCTGCTATCCTGTCTGTCGCGCGCCCCGTGGCGCGCGACGTTTTTTCTTCCCGCCACGCGCTCGGGGCGCATGGCGGTTTTCTGCCCGCCGCGCGCTTGGGGCGCGCGGCGGTTTTCTTTCCGCCGTGCGCCCCGAGGCGCGCGGCAGTTTACTGCCTCACGCGGCGCCCTGGGGGCCCGCGCGCTGCCCTGCCCGTCGCCCGTCGCGGCGCCCTGGGGGGCCGCGCGTCTCCCTGCCCGTCGCCCGTCGCGGAGCTCTGGGAACCCGCGCGTCGCCCCCCCCCCTCCCGTCGCCCGTCGCGGCGCCCTGGGGGGCCGCGCGTTGCCCTGCCCGTCGTCCGTCGCGGCGCCCTGGGGGCCAGCGCGTCGCCCCCTCCCTCCCGTCGCCCGTCGCGGCGCCCTGGGGGGCCGCACGTCGCCCCTCCCGTCGCCCGTCGCGGCGCCCTGGGGGGCCGCGCGTCACCCCTCCCGTCGCCCGTCGTGGCGCCCTGGGGGCCCGCGCGTCGCCCCCTCCCGTCGCTCGTCGAGGCGCCCTGGGGGACCGCGCGCCGCCCCGCTTCCGCTCACACGCCGCCCCAGCTGCTGCCCGCGTTTCTGCCCAGCGTTGGGGGTATGGGGGTGGCGGGTATGGGGGTGGCGGGTGTGTGAACCGTCCCCTGCTCCTCCTTCTCCTCTGTCTCCCACTGCTACAGCTACCGTTGAGGGGGGTGGGTGTGTGGGAGCCGAGGGAGTGGCGCTAGGGGGGTGACGTGGGAGTGGAGCTAGGGGTGCAACAAGGGGTGTGTGAAAGGGGGGTGGGACAGTTGGGGGAGGTTGAGCGGAGGCTGCCGTCTTGTCGTTCGCAGCACCTGTAGTCCGGGGCTCTGCCGCTGGTAGCCCAGAGAGCCTGCTGCGCCTGTCGCCCGTGGGTCCGTTGCTCCTGCCGCTCAGAGTTAGCCGCAGAGCCAGTTACTCCTGTAGTCCGGGGCCCTTGCTCCGGTAGCCACCGTGCGCGCCGCTCCTGTTGCCCGTGTGTCTGCAGCTTCAGCCGTCGCCTCTTATCTCCTCTCCTCTCACAGTCCAGCCTCCTCCTCCTCACTTGCCCTTTGTGAATGCCTCTAGCTTTGCTTGTACTGGTGAACCTGCTCTATGACTGCTTGCTGTGCTGATTATACCCCACTTTGACTATGGGGGTGTGTCAGAATGTGATAATTGTCTAGCCTGCAGTGGGGTACTCTATAGCGAGTACAGCCCAATTTAGGGTTTCCTATATGTATCCTGCTGCTGCTAGTCCAAACTCCTCTTTCGTGTTCTATCTTTCTACGTGCTATCTCTGACATACTTTAGATAAAGACGCTCATCTCGAGCGTTTGTAGCCACAAGACGCAAAAATATCCGCACCGGTACAGAAAATGAAGTAGGCAATTTTCAGTCGCGGGTACCCATGACCAATCTTTCTCGTTTCACTCGTGAGCAATCACCAATATTGTTTCAAGTCCACGAACTTGTTAACGGGAGTGGAGTGTTGGCCCGCCCTCGCTTGGGCAACGCCGACGACTTGGTCGGATGTACGGGAGTAGCAGCCGACCGTACACAGCTGGAGAGCTGCTCGACAGGCTTCGTCGAGCTGCAGGGGACCGCTGTGGTGTTGCTGTCGACCAGGGAGCTCGACAGCTGCAACTGACTGGTCTGGGCGACGGGTGGGCCGTCGACCAGGAGGGGCAGTTCGACCAGGAGGTCGACGGAGCAGTCTGTCGACCTGCAGCTCGACCGGGAGCAGTCTGTCGACCTGCAGTTCGACCAGGAGGTCGACGGAGCAGTCCGTCGACCTGACAAGTGAGCAGCGATCGACGAGGGGAGCTCGGCGACAACCGCTGACTGTTCTGGTCGACGGAAAGGGTCCGTCGACCAGGGGGTAGCTAGACGGGAGCTGTGGTCGACCAGGGGCACCTGGTGGTCGACCGGAGGGACCTGGTGGTCGACCAGAGGCAGTGGTTGTCGACCGGAAGCACCTGGTGGTCGACCAGGTCGACCGGGTAACCTGCTCGACGAGTTCTGCGGAGGCACGCGAACGTCGTCGAGGTCGCGATGGCGAAAGCGATTGCGGGCTGGTATCCCGAAGTCGATGTGGCTCGTCAGGCGCAGACAACAGCCGACGGATGGCCAACGAGGCAAGTCGGGCCAATCGTCTGCGCGCACCTGCGAGCGTGCGCACTGCTGTGTTCTACGGGGCAACGCTGGGACAGCCGCTCTGCTGCAGCGTTGGCACGCCATCGACCTGCTCTGTTGGCAGGTCGCCTTTCCGCAGTGCTGGCGCGGCTCCTCTACGCAACGCAGGCAGGCGGTCGACCAAGCTGTGCTGGCGGTCGACCAGGCTAGCTGCAGGGTTGCTAGGTGCCTAATGTAGTCATTCTGTCATTGCTTGTTCTACGATTCTGGAATTCCAACCTTCCGAGTGGAAACTCTTGCCGATTTCTTCCGTGAATGTGCAAGCACTAAGGAACTAAGCAAAGCTACGATCACTCCTAGTAGTTCGTGCCTACCCCCGTAGTCTAGCTCACTACCATTGTAGAGTGTCTCTCTGCAGAACACACACAACACATCTTTACATTAGTTAAAAACGATGGCGTTTGTAGTGTCGAGACGTGAAAACGTCCGCACAGGTACAGAACATGAAGCAGATAGTTTTCTGTCGCGGGTGCCCGTTACCAATCGATCTTGCTTCACTCTTAAGCAATTGCCAGCATAATTGCTGGTCCATGAACTAAAATATGACATATTTACTTCTGATAAAGACGTTCATCTCTGGCGTTTGTAGCCACAAGACGCAAAAGTATCTGCACCGGTGCAAAAAATGAAGTAGGCAATATTCAGTCGCGGGTACCCATGACCAATATTTCTCGATTCACTTGTTAGTGTCAAACATTATATGTTTATATTGTGTAGGCTATAGTGGGTTTAGCCTTAGGGGGTACAACTTTGTTAGGGTTTCCTACTTGTATCCCCCTCATGCCTAGTTTCATCATTCTCGTTCGTTCTTAGTTTCTAACATGGTATTACGAGCCTAGGTCGTAACCTAGGACCGATGATAGGGCCCACCGTTTCCGTTAGTCGCGCCCGAGCGCGCCTCGCTTAGTCGCGCCCTCGAGCGCATTTCTTTTTTCTGCCTCGTAGCGCGCCCTAGCACGCCCCTTGCGAACCGGCCCCGCCCAGCCCGCACGCCCTAGCGTGCCCCACGCGATCGGCCCCGCCCTCCTCGTACGCCCTAGCGTGCGACCCGCGCAACCGCACGCGCGTCGCCTGCCTCGCGCGCGCCCTTGCGTGCTGCGTCCGGCCCCAAGCGCTCGCTGCCCCGCGCGCCCTTGTGCGCCTCTTACGAGCCGGCCCCGCCCTTCCTCGCGCGTCCTTGCGTGCCCCGTGCGACCGGCCCTGCCCCACCCGCGCGCCCTTGCGTGCCCCTCGAGAACCGGCCCCGCCCCGCTAGCTCGCCCTTGCGTGCCCCGCGCGACCAGGCCCCGCCCCGCTCTGCACGCCCTCGCATGCCCCTCGAGTATCGGCCCCGCCCCACTAGCCCGCCCTTGCGTGCCCCGTGAGACCAGGCCCCGCCCCACTCTGCACGCCCTCGCGTGCCTCCCTCCGCGCAGCCCTGCCCTTGCAGCCTCGCTAGCGCCCTTACACACCTGAGTTCGCTTTCCGCACACCCGAGTTCGCTTCCCGCACACTTGTGCTCGCTTCGCGCACACCTGAACTCGCTTACCGCCTATTGCTGTTACAGCCGCCACTACTGCTCCTCCTGCAACTATGGCTAGCCCTGCTGTGCTCGCTTTCGATGCTGAGGGCCGCCCGCTGAAGTTTGACACCTGGCTCGATGACCTACACCTGTATCTCCAGCTCACTGCCAAGGAGGATATTTCACTGTACGATCACGCGCTAGGACACGCTGCTGCTGTCACAATAGATTTATATCTATTTAGTATAATCTGCCTGTAGTGTAGCTGTTGTGTAATTCCCTTGTATGTTGGTGCACCTCTTTCATCTTTGTTAGGTTGCTATATGTACTCGTGTGCTATAGTGAACCTCCAACCATTTTCAATTCTCCTTGGCACAAACTGCTCGACACCCGCTTGGCCTAGGCTACTAACCCTAGGCCCTTAGTTAAACCCGTTCCTAGCTAAGATCGTATTGTAACATGGTATCAGAGCTAGGTCGTTCCCGACCTATTTTTTTTTAAGGGCCCACCGTTAGTTATCGTGATGGCGCGTCCCGTCAAGCAGCAAATCGCGGCTCCGTTCGTCCCTCCCCATCGCTCGCCCATAGCAAAATCCGTCACGGCAGTCGTGACAGACGCAACGGTCGCGGCGGGAATGACGGCGCTCGTCGACCCGCTGTTTCGCGCCGTCGCTCTCGCCCTCGTCGACCCCGTGCACTACCCGCTACTGCAGTCCGCCACCCGCGCGATATCCGCTGCTGCAGCCCGTCGCCCCACCGGCTCGAGGTCCCGCTGCTGCTGCGCTAGCGACGACGAGCTGCGCGAGGGCGCTCGTCGCGCCCCACCGTTACGCCCCCCCCAGTTCACCTGCGGACCCGCGAGCAAGAGAGATAGCAGATCCGCGGACCCGCCTTCAGCGAGCGAGCCAGCGGACCCGCGAACCCGCCTTCAGCAAGCCCGTCGACGGACCCGCCGACGGGCTCGTCACAGGGCCCGCCGACGGACATGCCGTCGGACCCGCCAACGAGAGCGCCAGCAAGCCCGCCTGCGACTCGCCACCCGCACCCGCGCGACCCATTCCTGCCCCGCTTGCATCTGCTACGCCAGTTACTGCCGTTTCGTCCCGTTCCCGCCGCCCCACCCGGAACCCGATGCCCCACCTGTACCCGGCCGCCTGCCCGTCTCCCCCCCCCGTCGCAACTATTCGCGTGTGCAGCGGCGGTCGCTGTGGGTGGGAGAGGGAGGACAGGAAGGGATTGGCGGCCCAACCGACGCGCCAGCCAGCTCGCACCCCACCCATCTCCCGTACGCCATCCGCATCTGCACGACCGGTCCCTGCCCCACCTGCATCTACCGCGACTGCAGCTGTTGGGGGGGGAGTGACATGGAGGGGGTGATCAAACTGCAGCAATTGTCGCCACGCCTCCTCCTCTCTCTCTCTCTGCCGCTGTTGCTGCTGTAGGGGGGAGGTTCAGGGGGTGTGGGTGGATGTTCCAGCTGCAGCAACTACCACCACACCTCCTCCTGTCATCCCCCCGCCCCGTGTCTCCCGTGCTGCTACCCCGTCCCACCTGTTACACCCGTGCTGTCCGTACCCAGTCGTGCCCCACCCGTTCCACCCGTTCTGCCCGTGTCCTGCCCGTGTTCTGCCCGTGATCCTGCCCGTGATTCTGCCCGTGATTCTGCCCGTACTGCTGCCCGTGATTGTGCCCGTGATTATACCCGTGTATTGCCCGTACTTCCCCGTGCTTGCCCCGTGCCCGTGCCCGTGCTGTCTGCCCGTGTTCCCTGTGCTTCTGCTCGTGCTCTACCCGTGCTGTTTGTTCCCGTGCGTGCCCCACCTGTACCACCCGTGCTACCTTGTGCTCCTGTGCTGCCCCCGTGTTCCCGTGCTGCCCCCGTGTTCCCATGCTGCCCCCGTGTTGCCCCCGTGCTCCCGTGCTGCCCCCGTGCTCCCGTGCTGCCCCGTTCTGCCCGTGTTGCCTCGTTCAGCCCGTGTCCTGCCCCGTTCTGCCCGTGTTGGCCTGTTCTGCCCGTGCTGCCCCGTTCTGCCCGTTTGTGTCCTACCCGTGCTGTCCGTACCCGTTGATGCCCCACCCGTGCTGTCAGTTCTCGCTCGTGCCCCACCCGGTCTGTGCTGCCCGGTCTCGTGTTGCCCGTTACCCCCGTGCGGCCCGTCCCGTACAGCACCTAGTTGCTACCCGAACCCGCTACCCGTACCCGTGCTCCTCGCACACCGTGCACCAGCTGCGGGGCGTTCAACCGCAGCCGGGCACCTGTTCCACCGCGGTGGTTTAGATGCTGCTTGGTGGTTGCTGCTTGTCAGCTTCAGAGGGGGCCCCTTGCTGGTGTTCCCACGCCCTGTAATGGGGTTTTACAGGTGTACCCCTTCAAGGGGGGCTCTGCACATGGTTATGCACTTCAGGCAGATAGGGGGTGTGTCACAATAGATTTATATCTATTTAGTATAATCTGCCTGTAGTGTAGCTGTTGTGTAATTCCCTTGTATGTTGGTGCACCTCTTTCATCTTTGTTAGGTTGCTATATGTACTCGTGTGCTATAGTGAACCTCCAACCATTTTCAATTCTCCTTGGCACAAACTGCTCGACACCCGCTTGGCCTAGGCTACTAAGCCTAGGCCCTTAGTTAAACCCGTTCCTAGCTAAGATCGTATTGTAACAGCTGCCCCTGCTGATACTGCTGACAGCACTGCCCGCTCACAGTGGCAGACTCGTGACGCCCACGCTCGCTTCGCTATTCGCAACTCCCTGCCGATAGATGAGCGCGAGCACTTTGGCCAGCACAAGACTGCACAGGCACTGTACACTGCTGTAGTTGCACGCTACTCCTCACCTGCCTCTGCTACGCTAGGCCGTCTCTCGCTCCCCTACCTGTTCCCAGACCTGTCCGCCTTCTCCACAGTCGCTGACCTCATCACGCACCTCCGCTCTAGTGAGGCCCGCTTCCGTGCCGCTATGCCCGCTGAGTTTCTTGCCAAGAACCCCCCCCCGCTGTGGCTGACTCTCTACCACCTAGTCACCCGGCTCCCTGACTCCCTTCGTGCGGTTAGGGACCACTTCCTCGCTCGCTGCCCCACTGAGCTCACCATTGCCCTGCTCGAGAAGGAACTGCTTGCAGCTGAGGCTAGCATAGTCGCTGTAGGTACCTCTCGTGGCGACCCCCGCACACCTTTCTTCGAGGGGTGTTCCCCCTCCCCCCTTCTCCCCTCTGTCGCCTCTGCTGCTGCTGTCGACCTCCTTGGTGCTGAGAAGGTCGGGACTGCGTCCACTCCGAGTGGGCACCGCAGCGGCAAGGGAAAAGGGGGCAAGGGCGGTGGTGGTGACAGCGGGGGAGGCGGTGGTGGGGGCGGTGGCGGCGGTGGGGGAGGTGGCGGGGCTGGAGGGACTAGTGGCAGCAGTGGGGGTGGTAGCGACAGCGGGGGTGGTGGCGGCAACGGCGGAGGAGGTGGCCGGGGTGGGGGCGGTGGTGGTGGCGGCGGTGGACGCGGTGGCGGCAGGGGCGGCAGGGGCGGTGGTGGTCGAGGTGGTGGTCGAGGTGGTGGTCAGCGCCAGCGCCAGGAGCTTCGTGAGTGGTACTTTCAGCATGGGGGGGGGGGGTGGCCTTAGCTGCACGTACGTCATCCGCACAGGTGACCGCACTGGTCAGACGTGTGGGAGGGCGCACACCGCGCAGCGCTGCTTCTCCCGTCTTGACGACGCCTGGCGCGCTGAGTTTCCTGGTGCTACTGAGCTGCCCCGCTGGGCTGATCTGCTGAGGAAGAACATTGATGTCTATGCTCTTGACTTTGATGCTATTCTTGGTGCCATGTATGTGATGTCTGATAGTGGAGAGAGTGCCCAGTACCTGTGTGTTCCGCCCGATCCGGGCATTCGGACCAGTGCGGCTGCCGCTCTAGGTGCTAGTGTGTCTGCTGCCCCAGGTGCTGGTGAGGCTGCCGCTCCAGGTGCTCGCGTGTCTGCTGCCCCAGGTGCTGGTGAGGCTGCTGCTCTAGGTACTCTGCGCCCTCTGGTGCTGAGTCTACTGAGGCACTGCACACCTTCACACTGGACTCAGGTGCTTCTCGCTGTTTCTTTCGTGACCGCACTGCCCTTGAGCAGCTTGCTCGGCCGGTTGCAGTCTCCCTCGCTGACCCCTCTGGGGGTCCGGTCATTGCGACCTCCACCACTGTCCTCCCCTGTCCTGCGGTCCCGTCGGGCACACTGTCAGGTCTCTACCTCCCCTCGTTCTCTACGAACTTGGTGGCAGGTCGTGCGCTCCAGGACGGGGGTGTTCACCAGTTCACCCCTGCCTACGAGCGCGTGACACACTGCACGTGTGCTCGGACGGGTCGCCACTTGGCTACCTTCACCCGGCAGCCGGGGTCGGACCTGTACACACTGACCACTGAGTCCCCTCAGGTAGCTGCGTCTGCGTCTGCGTCTGCGTCTGGCCAGCTGTCGGCCCCCTGCTCGTGTCGCTCCCTGTCGCACCAGACCGTCCTCTGGCACCACCGCCTTGGTCACCCGTCAGTGCAGCGCCTTCGTGGCATGCACTCCCGGTACCTTGTCTCTGGTCTTCCCAGGGTGCTCCCTCCCCTCCCACCCTTGCCTGCTCCTCCCTGTCTTCCCTGTGTCGAGGGGCGGCAGCGCGCCGCTCCTCACTCCTCCTCCTTTCCCCCGACGACTGCTCCTCTGCAGACACTCCACATGGACGTGTGGGGCCCAGCCCGCGTCCGTGGACAGGGTCAGGAGAGGTACTTCTTGATAGTTGTTGACGACTACACGCGTTACACCACGGTCTTCCCCTTGCGCACCAAGGGTGAAGTCCCTGATGTTTTGATCCCTTGGATCCGCGCTGCCCGTCTCCAGCTCAGCGAGAGGTTCCGCTCCGACCTTCCTGTCCTCCGTCTGCACTCTGACAGAGATGGGGAGTTTTCCTCCGGCCTCTTGGAGGCCTTCTGTCAGGGGGAGGGCATTGAGCAGTCGTTCACGCTTCCAGCCTCTCCACAGCAGAATGGGGTTGCTGAGCGCCGCATTGGCTTGGTCATGGAGGTCGCTCGTACCTCCTTGATCCATGCGGCTGCCCCCCACTTTCTGTGGCCGTTTGCGGTCCGATACGCTGCACATCAGCTCAACCTCTGGCCCCGTGTCTCCGTTCCGGAGACTTCGCCGACACTGCGTTGGACGGGCAAGGTTGGCGATGCGTCACGTTTTCGGGTCTGGGGATCTCGAGCCTTTGTTCGCGATACGTCCGTGGACAAGCTCTCCTCCCGCGCTGTTCCTTGTGTCTTCCTTGGCTTTGTCCCGGACGCGTCTGGTTGGCAGTTTTACCACCCCACCTCGCGCCGTATCCTGCCTTCTCAGGACGTCACTTTCGACGAGTCCGTCCCCTACTACCGCCTCTTCCCCTACCGCACTGCCCCGCTCCCCCCCCCGCCTCTCTTCCTCGCTCCAGGTGCTGCTGTGGTAGACCCCCTCCCCCCTCAGGGTGCCGCTCCCTCAGGTGTGTCCCAGGTAGACCCGGTTGAGCCTGTCGAGGTAGCTGTCGACTCTCGTCCTGCTTGGGGTACTGAGCCTGAGGGTACTGAGCCTGAGGGTGCTGAGCCTTAGTGTGCGGAGCCTGGGGGTGAGGAGCCTGGGGGTGCGGAGCCTGGGGGTGAGGAGCCTGGGGGTGCGGAGCCTGGGGGTGCGGAGCCTGGGGGTGCGGAGTCTGGGGGTGCTGGCCCTGAGAGTGCTACGTCTGAGGGTACTGAGCCTGGGGGTGCTGCGACTGAGGGTGCTGAGCCTGGGGGTGCTGCGACTGAGGGTGCTGAGCCTGGGGGTGCTACACCTGAGCGTACGGCGCCTGGAGACCCTCCCTCTTCACAGCAGCTGCTTGAGTGGTACTTGCGGTACTGCAGCCTCGGGAGAGGTGGTGCTGGAGCTAGTGCTCGTGGTTCCCCACCTAGGCGCGAGCTCCCCTCTCCCCAGCGGCTCCGAGAGTGGTACGCTCGGCGCTGCAGTCTCCGGAGTGGCGCTGCTGGTGTTGCGGACCCAGGAGTTGGAGCTGCTGCTGGTACTGAGGACCCTGGAGCCGGTGCTGCTGGTGGTGCTGACGACCCTGGCGTTGGAGCTACTGCTGGTGCTGAGGACCCTGGCGTTGGAGCTACTGCTGGTGCTGAGGTCCCTGGAGCTGGTGCTGCTGGTGCTGCTGGTGCTGCTGGTGCTGGAGGTACTGGCGCTGCTGGAGCTACTGGTGGTGCTGCGGGAGCTGTAGCTGGAGACTCTGGCGCTGAGGGTGCTGGTGGTGTCTCTACTGGTTCTGGAGGCGCTACGCGGTCGCGGCCGTACTTCGTTCCGCTCCTTCAGCAGGTTCTTGGTCAGCCGCCTCCTCCTTGTCCTGCTCCCTCCTTAGAGTGTCCTCCGCCGGTCCAGTCGCAGTCACAGTTACCGCCTGCCTCGCCACTCCCTGGTCCTTCTCCTAACACTGGTCCTACTGGAGGTCTTACGGAGCGTCGTGAGCCTGAGTCTCGTCCTGTGTCGCCTGCGTCTCGCTCTGCGTCACCTGTTCGTGCTGCTCGCACTGGTCGTCGTGTCCCGCGTCAGCGTCCTCCTGCTGTCCCAGGCACTCACCAGATGGCGCTTCGTCCTTCCACTGCCCCTCAGCATGTCCCTCTGCCGTCTCCCCCTGCGTCCTCTCTTCCTGCTCTTTCTGACCCGGCGTCTGACTCCCTTCGTGCTGCCAGTCCTACTGTCACGCGTCTCCTCGCCACTGTTGTCACTGACCCTACCTTTGAGTCAGCTGCTGCGTCTGCTCTAGTCGCTCAGTTAGTTGACTTTGCTGCCGCTTGTCGTCTAGACTACGCCGCTAGCCTTGTTGCTGAGTCTGAGTCTGTCTTACCTCCGTCCGTCGGGGGTGAGTGTGCTCTTGGCACGGACGTCCTTGAGGACAGGCAGGAGGAGTTTGAGTGCTTTGCCGCTGCTTTGCCCCATCTTGTGTCCATGCTAATTGCCCCTGAGGGAGACCCGGATGCACCAGACATCCCGACCCCGCGCTCTTACGCAGAGGCGATAGAGGGTCCCTACTCCTCTCAGTGGCAGACAGCCATGGACGCAGAGATGGCTTCCTGGAAGTCCACAGGCACCTACGTCGACGAGGTTCCCCCACCTGGGGCGAACATCGTCAGTGGCATGTGGATTTTCAGGGTGAAGCGGCCGCCGGGTTCTCCGCCTGTCTTCAAGGCGCGTTACGTTGCTCGAGGCTTCAGTCAGCGAGAGGGAGTTGACTTCTTCCAGACCTTCTCCCCGACCCCAAAGAT